AAGGGCGACATTAACAGTTTAGGACCAGATTGAAATTGGAACTAAGCTGAATGGAAATCTATTTTCGGTCAACCTTTATTTGTTTAATATTTCTCTAGTTTTCTAGAAGGAGCATTAAAATACACTAAGCCATGGGCGTCGCCAGGGAAGAGCAGGGGGATCGTTCCCCTTCGGTGTGTTACTTGGAGATCCCAGAATCTTCGTCTTTGTCACTAGAGGATCGCCACCGAGGGGGTTTTAGTAGGTCAAATCCTACGTTACCCTGCCTTCCCCCCAGAAGGCAAGGTATCTTTTGAGGATTTCCCCTCCGACACCAAAAAAAGGGAGACCGTTTCCCAACTTCCCCTAAAATTGTAAAATAGATTATTAAAACGACTTCGAATAATATGGTAGTTGCCCCCTTTCCACCCTAGACCTAGCCTAGATCATCGTCTAGCACTAAGCATTAAGCAACATGATATATATTACAATTTCATTTCCTTATTCCAAGCAACTGAAATAGATGATGTGATCTGCAAATCCACCAGAAACAGACTAAGCAGAGCGATGCGATAAATTGGAGAGAGACGTATGACTTACGACGGCGCCGGGCTACTTCTGTAACAAGTTAACTAAATGTTGACATAAATTGTTGCTTTCATCTGTGTAAACGAAAACATAGTCTTATGCCTCGTTTACAATCAGCGAGTGCAGTTTGACAGTAGCACTTGATAACTGGACTGACTTGCAACTAGGATAATGTAAACACTAAAGAACAAATGAGTCCATACAGTTCATGCCTAGTCTGGCCAAGTGTTTTGATTTTAGGGATTGTACGATTTTTTATTTACGTGCCTCGTAGATATATAAAATACAGAAATAAAAATAGACTTTTCAATTATTTCAATAATGTATATCCTTTGATAAAACTCTGTTATTGAGTTTGAATTATTTTTATAAGCGTGTATTGCAGCGCCATCTAGTATCAGATAGTTGAATTAAAAATATTTTGTCCAAGTAAATTGAAAGAAAAGTTTACATTTGTCATCATTACATAGAGAGAATAATTTAAACTAACGTTTTAATTTACTAATTTTAACTTCTACTAAACATGCATTTCCTATATTCGATCGAATTTTAACACTAAAATTTCCCGTAAAAGTATTGACAAGACGTGCGCAAGAGAAATGCAAAATTAATTGTTTAAAATAATCTTTAACATTATTTCAAATGTTACAAGAGAAGACTAACTGTACAATTTATTTTCTAAACTTAGGTTGGTCAAGTGCGATCAATGCAATCACAATCACTTAAGCTATAAATAACTTAAGGATCGATAGTCGTTACGTTGCACCGAAATAGCTTGTATTCGGAAAGGAGCATCTCTATTGTATTCGTAATCGCCGCTTTAAACAACGCAAATCTTCGCAAACTACAAAAATAATACAAGAAATTGCATTGTAAATTCCAGTTTCATTTTATTTCCATACTTACCGGCGCCCTGGGCGACATTTCTACGGCACCCCCTAACTGTATTGCTAGTTTATACGAAAAAAAGCAAAGGGTATAGCAGACCAAATATAGTATAAAGGTGCCCCGAGCGCGCTTGTTATGCCTCTTGATGTACGGCGCCCTAGACGACTGCCCTCGCCCTAACCCTAATACTGGATTGTCTTTGCCTTAGTTATTGAACGTATTTATCAACTTTTAAAAATGTAAAAAACATCACAATCATGCAACATCTAACGTATTCATGTATCTTATCTTTCATCTCATCTACTTTCACAGACTATAAAACAAGACAGGCTGTCTGCATGTATTCTTGATTTAAATTGCACGTCATTGCGACGTTAAAAATCGCTGGAACTACATATCACGCAACCTAGCAACACTATTGTACTTTCGCGCCATTTCTCAATTCAATGGCAACATTCCATGATAATTTTTACGATGTACGTCTAGATTCATAACCTAACTTTGTCTACATTGGTACTCGTTTCCATTATCAGTTTAATAATGTCGAAATTAAATCTATTGACTACTAATATATCCTTTATACAATATACAAACTTATTAAATTCATGAAATTTCCTTAACAATAACTAAACCTTATAATGTGTCGTATAATAAAATAATTACACCATATAAGTCAATGCAGGATCAATCAACGTGACTACAAAATCCATATCATTTAAAGCAATTGAATTGGCTGCGAAATAATCTACAATCGCACAACAGTTGTGAGCTGTGAGTTTATTTAGTTAGAGATGTGCGATTTGATCGCTCCTATATTACACTAGCGTTTGCCCTAGACTCCGTCCGCGTGAAATTTAAAAAAAATACTAAAGAATTTTTAAATTCGGTCCAGCAGTTTTTGTATTACAATCAAACAAACAATGTTTTTCCTTTTGATAATATCAGTATAGAAAATGAGAAGCTGTGATCTTCGGTCCTTAACATGTGTACTGAAAAAAATTCGAATGACGATACAATAATCGTGATATAACGGAAACACGTCAACAGCAAACATTAGTATTCTGCAGAGGAGGGCACGACTAGAATTTACTGTTATAGCGGCGTGCATCTCCCTACAGATGCGCCATCTCGCGCCGCCGACTGGCAATGGCGACGATTTACTGACTCAGTGCAATATCATGAATTCCTGGAATGCTGGCTTCGAGACAGAATACTCCAACAAGCACGTTATACGACACTGGTGGGTAACGAAGGTTGTGGTAATTATTCTATCTTTAGTGTCTGCACAATAGATTGTAAAGGAGATAGGAATCTTGAAAATGCCTTATTAAAAAACTGTAAGAAGTTTTCCTTCCAGATAAAGCGAGACAATTATGAAAATTATGGAAAAAAACACTGGGATATGCCGACATCCAAATGTCGTCAATAAATGCTGATTAAGTTACGTATGTATCAAAGCTTTACATCACAACTATAAACGATATGTGACGTTAATGGATTTTCACACGGTGTCCAGCAAGCGGAGAATCGGAAAACCGGCACAATACTGAATGAAGGTAATTGGGCCCAATGTTGGCGAATTAAGTGAGGTTTGTGTACAATGATACAGTCTCATTGTGCGCGCCCAATCGTGTGAATAATGAAGCGATTGAGTTTTATTGGGCGTTTGGTGACGCGGAACTACAAGTGTTTGTATTTACTATATTAAACTCCCACGATCTTATATCTGGTATAAAATAAGCAGCGCCTGTTCATTTATTCACAGCAAACATTCATATAAACATGATATGAAATAACTCGGCGTTGAATCAACATATAATATGACAGAAATAAATTAACTTACAAATAATGACGAAATTTCTACTACTGCTTAGAGTACATTATAATGTATTTTACGAAAGGAGAAATGTAGATAAGTAACATTAGCTGTATGAAATAAAAGCAAATGTCAAATGTTCCTATTTCACTAGTTAGATGACAAACGTTTAATTCGCTAAAATAGCAAAGCAACCGCTGCCCGTAGTTAACATAATAACACATGTATTGCCTGCCATCAACAGAGGTTCAATACACAGTAAGAGCCTACCCTATACGCTACTTTGTAGTTTTTACACCCTACTTAGCGTCCCGTTCGCCGCCAAATCAACCTCTCCTTGCACAAAAATGGTGGAAAATGGAATATGTAAAGTCTACTCTAATAATGTTGCAACATAGTAAATAATATTTATTTTTCCTTGTCATTTACAAGTAAATGTAAATGTCCATGTAGATTTAAAATATTGACATAAAATCGTTAGAACTATGTAATTATTAGGTTTGTCCATTACTTTGTCACCAGTGTATTTACTATCTGTCATAATTGATAGTGTCCTTACAGTTTATTAGTTTTGTGTCAATGTGTGTAATGCAGTTGTTTAGCGCTTGATCAGACCATAATCTATACATCCAGGTACAATCCCTGCCATGTTTCATAATACAGTAATTCCATATGTACAATCGCGAAAATCTGACATACTGACAGTGGTAGTACCCGCTTTAACATCTTAGCACGAATGGGCCGGCACGCCTGGTGTAATACCACGACCATACAGAAGACAGGCGTGAAATGGACGTAATTCCGTGTTTCGTCTGATGAATGTGGTGCCGGAGGCCTAATTTATGTCCCTTTCTCTTTACCACCCTTTCTTGTAAGGAGAGGTTGGGAAGAGGAAGTGGATTTGACGGTGGAGGAGATGTATAAGAAGGGGAAATATCCACTTCATGTGCGTCTCCTCCTCCGTAGTATAAGTGTAGGCAACGCATCTGCAATTGCGGATGTCCATGGGCAACAGTCGCTTCGCCATTCAGGTGGCCGCTTGCTCGTTTGCCACCTTATGTTATAAAAAAAAATCTGCGGTCTATCACTTCAGGAAAAATTGTTTTGTTCATTGCAACTACACAAACTCCGCCTCTACCAAATAACTAATTAGATAACAGTGGTGCAAACGAAAGAATAATCATCAAAAGAAATTACCAGTATATCTCTGAGTTTTTTCTAAGTTCAAACGATTGTAGCTTTTTCGGTGGAACACTGCCAATTTTCCCCAACAATACATACGAGTTTACAATATTCTTACGATGAAGGAAAACATCGTGATGCTTGCACATATCGCCGAAGAAAATGATATGTGAAGTCAACCAACCCGCATTGGGTCAGCATAACTACAGCATAGTGACCTCTAACTTTAAGTGGGCCCCGAGCCCTTCAGTGGGATGCATAGCTGATGATAATTTAGAAAACCTTAGATTGCAATATAAAAGAAATGTCTCAAGATGAGAGAAAATTTAATTTTAAGCATAATTTTAAGTAACGCTAATTGACAAATGAATTAACTTATTCATACTTTTAATAAAAACGAGCAATGCAATATTATTTTCCAGGTCAGTGTTCTAATGCGTTGGTTAAAATATTCAAATTAGGTAAATTAATAACTTTGACAGAAGTGCAAGTTATGTCCTTGGAGTTGTCTTACTAATAATTGCGTTCAAAATTATGTAGAGACCGAGGCAAAGGCAACATAACCATTCGATCCACTCGCGTCGCTTGTGCCACTACTGTGAATATCACAAAATTTAAAAAAATAATAAAAAATATGGAGAAAAGTGTAATAATTATTTTTGTATTTTTTTCGTGTTACCAACATACACAACAACTGATCCCATTACGTAAGTATAGGTTTAATTTAACTTTTTACCTGCCTTTTCTAGTATTGATTTATTATTAAACGATGTTTATTTCGAATACGATAACCATTTTAAATCTTAGCAAATCTATGTTAATTTTAACTTTTTATACCACAAGAGATTTATTTGATTACCATCTCATTAATATATCGAATTTATTTTATTAAACTTGTTTAATCTAAAATATTACAAAATCTTGTCTATAATATAGTTACTAATACGAAATAAATGACACAGAAAACATTTCTTTATCCTATAATTTTTGTCAAATAAAACGTCAATTTAATCATAGCAATTAAGTAAATGTTCTTTTCTTGAATTAAGTTTAACAAGATTCGTATTAGCTTAACACAATTTGCATTAAAATATTTCCATGCACATAAAAAAACTCAAAATATGAACTGTTGCGTTTGTCAGTTTTTATTCATTATATAAGTTGACCCAGTTTCTTGACCCAACGGCCGTTGATGAAATCTTTTCAACGAGTGCATTGTTTATCTCTACAACATGCAAATAAAGTTAATCTTAAAACTGAGGTCGGCTATCGTAATATAAAGCAAGGAATTACTAAACAGGTACATGACAGATGTGTAAAAAGTATAAATTACAAATGGTTGTTTTACCAAAATCAAGAAATTTGTGATTTAAAATAAAATGCAAGAGAGATGAAAATAATGTAACTATCACATAAATATATGTGAGTACAAAATGATAACAAACAACGCAAAGACACACAAAATTGAGATAAAATCCTCAATTATCTCAAGGTATTTAAAACTAGAGAAATACTAAAAAAAAAACTAAAAAAAAAAATAACAATAAAACAGTGAGTATAATTTACAAATTATATTAAGGCATGTCTATAGCATTGTTATCTCTTTATTTACAGCGGACTTCATCCATCCATGCAGCGAACTTAATGACGAATGCTTCACACAAGCTACTCTAGACGCGATACCGGGCGTTGTCAGGGGAATTCCAGAAGCGGGCATCCCTCCCCTGGACCCGCTGTACTTGGATAAGAATATCACAATGGCCCTCCCTGGTAATGTCAAGATGACATTCCACAACGGAAAACTACTGGGACTTAGCACCTGTGTGCCGAGTAAAGTTTCGTAAGTATTACGTAAGCAACTTGACATCGTATGCAATACTCACAGTGCGACCTCATGAGTTCATAAGGTAGGCAATGTTTACCTCCTAATTATTTGGTAGTTTAACCAAAGGTTTTGATCATAAGTGATATGGGAAATATTCGACAAAGGTTGGCATTTTCTATTCTAATTCTTGTTTATGGCTCCCACAGCGGATTGGGCCAGTGTCAAACATTGGCATTTTAAACAAACGTATAAGTATGACTTTGCAGTTTTGAAGATTTAAAACTATTTAGATTTAATTGAAAGACATATTAAAGAGAGATTATAGAGATGTATAGAGGAGACAGAAAATATTTATTTTTAGCGATTGCATTATGTGCATCATCGTTGTACACAAACTTTAATAACTTTGTTATAGTTCATATAAAACTCTTCATAGTAAACATACTCCAACATCAATAAACTTTAACGAGTTTAAAGGTAATGTGCATTTTTCTAGATTTTTCTAGGAATGTTACGTAATTACGCAGTACATTGCACTCCAGTCTTGTGCGTTGTACGAAATCGGGGTTAAATATCGAAAGCCGAGCCATATCGTTATACGGACGTGGCCGTAATGAAAATATTACCAAATAGACCTGTCGTGTACATAGATTTAAGAACTTATAGAACAGCAATGTAGAGTTAGTAATATCGATAGACCAAACATTAAGATTTAACCAAGGCGTTGATTGGTTAAAAATCTTGTCAACCAATTCGCCTGTATTCCAATTTAGAATGTTAAAAGTAATCATTGTAAGTAATAATTTATTCAAACGTGCTAAATATTTACTTAACAGATCGCGTCGTGAGAAACGAACATTTGTTTTCGACATCCAATGCAACTTTACAATCAAAGGCCATTACAGTATCGTCGGAAGGATATTGCTATTCAACCTTAACACGGACGGGAACGCAAAGATTAAAATATGTAAGTTTCACAACCATTAGTTGGCTGTACTGATGGACGACAGATTTATATCCTAGGCTTCACATTTACCACTAGTTATAGACTGTCCTATAATATGTTTACGGCATCTATTTGATAATTCTCGTAAGACTCATATCTTCATTTATTGTTTATCATATAACATTAAACAATCTTTCAATCATTACTTCCATAGTGCCATACTTCCAATGTACACAAGAGAAACTTTATTTATCTTTAATATCTTGTAAGAAACAAATTAAACCGCCATTTGCAAAGTATATCCGTTGAATGCATAATAACTAAAATCATTCACTTCCTATCACGCGATAGTTAACTGTCGGTTTATACACCTGCAACAAATTAGGTTTATCAAAACATAAATGTTATGGAAAAATGACGTGAAGTAACTCATAATTGTAATCAATTAACCCTTAAAAGTCTCTTTTTTAAATCAATTTAAAAAATGTAAAAGCGTGCCCTTAACTGTGTTTTTTACTAATAAGGAAAAATAGTAAAATAATCTAAACGATATTTTTTACATTTCCGTGATATGCTCATTTTGTTTTCTAACTCGAAGATCAAGAAGTCAAATATGTCAAGTGCCCAATGTGATTGCGAAACTTCTGGTATTTAAGGTTTAAAAATTATTTATTAACCATAAAACTCAAGGTATTAGTTAAAAATCACTGATAGAAAGTTCAACAATCAGATAACGAATATAATTGCAGGGAATCAAAAAATCCATCTAGAAGTTCTGGAGAAGGTAGTTAAAAACGACAAAGGCGAGGGTCACTACAAAATCAATTCTTACAAATACAAAGCAGACTATGGAACTGATTTAAAACTTAATTTGACTAATTTATTCAGAGGAAGTCCTGAAATTAGTAAGTATCTTAAAAATTAAAAACCATTCTATATCTAGCAAGATGGTTTACACCAAACATAACTAACTAAAGTTCTACAAACTGCACAAATATGCAGTCACAAAAAAATAAAAGCTAATTGTGACGTTAATCTTAAAATATATGAACTAAAGCAAAGCTTGTAATTCTAAAGACCAGAAAATTGAAAATAAATTACATTTGTGCTTTATACTAATATTATAAATGTGAAAGTTTTGACAGATGGATGGATGTTTGTTAGAGTTTGTAGCCTAAACTGCTGAACGGATCTCAATGAAATTTGGCATAAATGTAGAGGATAGTCTGGAAGAACACATAGGCTGCTTGGTTTTGGTTTTTTTCATACCACGCAGACGGAGTCGCGGGCGTAAGCTAGTATATAATACTAATAAACTTTATTCTAGGCGCGAATATTCTCAGCGTTCTCAACTCTAATTCTCAACTCGTCGCTCAAGAGTTCGGAGGGCCGATCCTCGACTACGCTATAGACTATGCAATGAACGTCACACAGAAGTTCTTCGACGCCTACACATACGACCAGATCAGCCACGTACCACTCACCGATGACTTCTTCGAAGAGGACTGATTTAATTCATAGTTAAGAGACTTTAAGAGCGGGCGCACCAAATGATGTGCGATTGTCGATTGTTTCGCAGCCAATTCAACTGTTTAGTCGCACAACTAAAAACCGAGTAGTTTGCTCAATGTTGTGCGATAGTTTAGTTTAAGGTGTGCGCGCGCTCTAAAAATCTATGAGATGACCCACCATCTTATATTAGTTGTCTTAAGCTTATAAATTACTTAAGTATTCGCTAGGATGTAATGTATTAGAGATTAGACCAAAAATCTGTTAAATTAAACTGTATCCGAGATAAACAATGGATAACAGTCGGTTGCAGAAATAAGATTAAATATTGTTTTGATATTCGAGTTTTCCTTGATAATTTCAACAACCCATGGTTTTAATATGAATAATACTAAAGGCTGCACGAGATATTTTAATAAATATAAAATAATTAAAGCCTTTTAGCTCCCAAAATGAACCAAGCTTGGATAGAGGTAAGTTTGGTCAAAGCGTCATAATTTTGGGTCAAGGAATCTATGTTTCCTGAACACACTGTATAAGTAATTTAATATTAAAACGTTTAAATATTTTATGTTTGGAACAATAATCTTAAATACATTCTAAATAATGTTTTAAAACGAATAAGTACCAATTTACATGAGAAATTAAGTATTGAATTTTGAAAAGCCATTTATTTTTGAATCATTTTATTAAGGCAATTTCAATCTACTAAATGTTCTGAATCTATTCCGTTCTTTGAACTATTCCTGCAGCAAATCACGCGAAGGTAGACCGTCTGAAAACTTTAAAACATAATTTAATTTTATGGTTTTTGCAGAAATAACATTTCGTGCGACTTCGCTTGACTAAATCATTCCGAATTCTCTGAATACAAGTTATTTATTGTTTATCTATTCGGAAAGTAATTTGTTTTGTCAAATATCTTCTACACGCGATTTCTTAATATTGCTTCAAAAGTTTGATTGTGAATTTATTTTATGGCTTGAAAAAGGAGACTTGCGAAGAACTCTGATTAGTTTCTTGAATAAAAATCGACTGAAAATCACATATTTTCAATATAAAATAGGCTATGGGCAATAAAAAGACCAATGTTGTAATATATTTTTATGAGTATCCAAAAACATACGTTGCCTTGATTTTTTTAAAAAGCTGCGTGTCCATGATATCGATTACTGTCACAAAATTCTATTTCCGTATGTCTCGTCGGCATCAGGACCATAAATAATTTAAGTCATAACAAAATCGTCACGTAGATGAAACACACGTTTTGGCGCGTTATTTTTGTTGCGCCGCGACACGTGGGGCGGCATCGGATACGTGGTTTTTTGCCACTGGTGACTTTTTAATTTGAGGTGTAAAAAACAAAGGTTGGGGCGAAAAGACACTTATCTTTCGCGAGAACGATATGTTATCGGTTACAGTTGTGTGGTTCTCAAACATTTTGAACTGTAATATATTGATTGTTGCTTAAAAAAAAGTTATGATTCTAATTAAACAAAAGAAGCATCACTGTTAAGTGAAACTCGTTCTTTTTTGTGACCAATTTGTTAATTTTTGGCTTCAAACTTTAACAATAATGGTAGACTGCTCAGAGCGCTTAGGATTGACCTCTAAACTAAAGGATATTACTTCGAATCGTTACATTATCTATCATACTAGGCAATATCCAGGTTTTAAATTGCGTCGAAAGCATTATTTTGAAAAATAAACGCAACTCTCAAAAAGTTTGAGTGGCGATAAACTCCCTAAGGCCTTTTGACATCTTCGCTGGCTTGTAAAGACATCCGTCATTCCACACTTCTCGCCCCCAGTATTTTAAAGACGATACTTATATCCAACCACTATTTCTAGACCCGTATAATACCATTTATATCCAAGAAAGTCAATATCTATCCTAATAAGGGGGTCTCTTGTGTGACTGGATAAGCATTAAGGGGTGTAATGTGCCACTTCCGATAAACATTTCCCTATGATCCATCGTTTTTTATATAAAAAAAACATCTACAGAAATTGAAAATAGTTGTTGTTTGTCTGATATTGTTAAAATAGATTTGTTTTTAAATAAAGGCAACGTCATTCGCCTTTAAAACATTAAAAAAAAACTTATAACAGAAAGGAAAAACGTATACCTAAAACATGTTAATCTTAGCAGAACAGAGAACAGAACAGATCTTACTAATGTTATTAATTCAAAAGTTTAGATGGAGGGATGGATCATGGATGTTGGTGTGTGTTTGTAGCCTAAACTGCTGAAAGAATCTCCATGAAATTTGACAGATGTAGAGGACAGTCTGAAAAACACATAAGCTATTTACTTTTGTTTTTAATTCCATCCAGGCGGAGTCGCGAACGAAATCTAGTTTCTTAAAAATATGCATTACAAAAAAAAACATATCGACGAATTGAGTACCTCCTTCTTTTGGGAAGTCGGTCAAAAATAGTTAAACGCCATATAAGTGTTCAAATGTAAAGTGGTGTGATTCATTACATCGGTTAAGCATAAATATAGGACATAACTTTTTAAAATTGACAATGGATGTAAATGATATTTACATTATTATGTTATGATATTTACAAATTAAATTAACTACATTGGTAAATCATAGGACAGTGTCATAAAATATTAATATGTTATACGCCTAAGATTTAGTACGTACTAGCTGCCGCCCGCGACTACGTCCGCGTGGTATTAATGAAAACAAAAGAAAGTAGCCTATGTGTTCTTACAGACTATCCTCTACATCTATGCCAAAATTTCTTCCAGATCCGTTCAGCCATTTAGACTACAAACTCTAACAAACATCCATCCATCCATCCATCTAAACTTTTCCATTTATAATATTAGTAAGATAGTTGTGCGATTGTCGATTGTTTCGCACCCAATTCAAGTGTTTAGTTGTATAACTAAAAATCGAGTAGTGTGCGCATCTTTATATAAGCTCATACGAATCAAAGAGACTAAACAGTTGTCCGATAGTTTAGTTTGATGTGTGCGCACGCTCGTAATCTACGCATTAGAATATACGATATATGAATGGTTAATAACACGCTGTAGGAATCCACACAAAAACATCAGAGAGATCTGTAATGTGTCGGAAGTGCGTGTCGAAGGCGTACTGTGATGACGGATGTCCGCAAAAACTCTGTTCACACTTTGTTTCTGTCATCGCATGATCTATGACAAAGGTGCAGAGGTGGAAAATCACGTCGTTTGATTTATTTTAATGGGCATTCGCGCTGAAAATATATTTCAACGTCATTCATTATTTAAGTATACGTTAAAGGGATTTTTCGAATTCCTTTCAATATAACCAGAAAACTTTAATTGTTAATTGCAGTCTTGATAATTTCACAGTCATAGTAAAATTTTACTTTCACTTCAAATTTTTATACAATCTAAAAATAAATAAAAACCTCGATTACAGGCTAGGCATTAATCCTAGATTACCGCTTTTTTGGTAGAAACTTATGCTTCGGCGTTTCAGCTTTAAACTACTAAAACAGTGATTCAAACGAATTTATTAAGCTCCCATTCATGACAACAAAGGCGAATAAATTACTCAGAGTTACAAGTTGGTACACGAGGCGCGTTTGATTTGTATGTAGCCGATGCAACGACGGTAATGACCGCCTGCGACAGGAACACCCGCTAGCTTTGTGTGGAGAGGGCTTTACTAAATTATTGAAACACTATAAAAGATCATATTAATTATTAGATATTTTTTGTTAACAGTATGGTAGATAGTAAATTAATGTTTGTCAGTGTGAATATGTTACATTTTGATTTTTTTTAAGGGGAAATAAAGCTATCTTTTTCTTTATAATACGTCATAAGTCAAATCTAGAGGAACGAAGATGCTCTATATATGTATAGTGAAACATCCATCATTCTTTTCCTTATCATACTAATATTATAAATGCGAATGTTTAGATGGATGGATGGATGTTTGTTAGAGTTTGTAACCTAAACGGCTGAACGAATTTCGTTGAAATTTAGCATTATTGCAGAGGATAGTCTTGAAGAACAGGTAGGCTACTTACGTTTGTTTTTTATTAATCTGCACGGACGGAGTTGCGGGCGAAAGCTAGTAAAGGGGATATTCATAATAGTATTTATGTCAACAAACATTAGCTTGCCTTCAAAATATCCCCTTCTCTGTCTTATACCTTTTATTCGAAGTTCTGAAAAGCCTTTTCTACATAACGTTAGCCGGTGCCACAAAGTCGTGGTGATCGGTCCGTAAACGGGGTCAGGCCATTAGAGCGCTCATTCGAATGCATCCCCGCAGCTTTCAGTTCACTGAAGCCGGCGACGCCTCGCTTTGCAATGCACTGATATTGTTCAATATTAATGCAGCCTTTAATACCAAGGTCAAAGATTTCAAGTCAAAGACTTCCGCAATTATCGTTACTTTAAGACTTTTATTACGTCAGTGATAGTTGATAGTTGTTGTTTTGACGCAACTATCAACTGGGTGTAGACCCGACCTTGCTTTTATTAATCTTACTTCTTATTAATACTAAACCTACTAATAATGTGAAAGATAATATTGATGCATGGATGGATGTTTGTTAGAGTTTGTAGTCTAAACTACTGAACGGATCTCGGATTAAATTTGGCATAGATCTCTACATTTATCTTATCGTCTACGATAGTGTGGAAGAACACATAGGCTACTTGCTTTTGTTTTTTTCGTTTGACGCCGACGGAGTCGCGGGCGAAAGCTAGTACTTCATGAACCACAACATAGTGAATAAATCTTATGAATTGCAAGTGTTTGGTAGTATAATTAGTAATAGTACAAGAATAATGAGCAATTAAACCAATATCAACATAGGTGTTTTTATCGCCATCAAGAATTACAGATGTCATCTTGTTTGAAACTAACGCAGTCGACAAAAATTATACTCTACTCCGTGGACATCTAGCTTTAGGAGTGTAATTGTTATTTAGAAATCAATAATTCAATCAAGACACTAAACATTGGCATTTCCGTTTACTACCTCATTAGGACTCATTACTTTGCACATATAAATGATGCAAGTAAATTAGACGCAAATTCACACATACACGTGGGTTAGAAAGTGATGAGCTTAGGCGCCATTTCCTGTACTCATTGACATTAGTACTAAGAGCGGGCGCACAACTTTGACTAAACTGTCGCACAACTGTTGTGCGACAGTCGATTATTTCACAGCCCATTTAACTGTTTATTTGCACAAATAAAAATCGAATAGTGTGCGCACCTCCATATAAGCTCATAGGAATCAAAGGGCGAGTAAAGAGTTGTGGGATAGTTTAGTTTAAGATGGACGCATTCTCTTAATATGGATAAGACCAACACAAGTAAAACATCTACGGTGTATTAAAATCTAGATGTGGCCTATTTAAGAGGTTGCAAGTTAGTCCGTGAGTAATGTAGAGGTTTTATAACTAACGAATATAACATGTTTTCTTTTATATATATATAAGATATCGAAAAAAATAAAAACAACTTGATTTAATGATCGCAAAAAAGTAACCGCACCCTCCGTTATAGCTCATGTAACTAACGAGCGTATTCTGCACCGATCCGTAGCCAGACCTCCCTCATACAAATTATTTGAATTCTTCACTAACAATATCCAAGTAATTTTCAAATAGAAAAAAAAAGACTAAAGAAAATTAATTTTCTTTGAATTTACATGGACATAAAATATTGTTTAGTTACATCTTACTTCTAATCTAACTCTTACTAATATAATAAATGTAAAAATTTTGGATGGATGGATGGTTTTGAGTTTGTAGTCCAAACGGCTAAACTGACCTCGATGAAATTTAGCATAGGCGTAGAGTTTCCGCGTCGTTGGATGCGGAAGGCGGAGGACCGCATTCTGTGGAAGGCATTGGGAAAGGCCTATGTCCAGCAGTGGGCAGTTGAAGGCTGGTGATGATGATGATGTAGAGTTTAGTCTGGAACACACTACTTACTTTTTAATTCAACGCGGACGGAGTCGCGGGCGAAAGCTTCTAATTGATGACTTTTACTTTATTTCTAGATTTAATGTTCATTAATCAAGATTATTCTTCTTTCTTTATAACCTTTCAGACATAATTTTGATATATAACATCTTGTATCCCGTGTGACATAGTATATGCGCGCACATCTGAAACTAAACTATCGCACAACTGTTTAGTTGCGCTTTGAGGTTATATGCTTTAAGATTCCTGAGCTTACATGGATGACTTGACTGCAAAACAATCTTTCTATCGACAATCGTACGACAGTTGTGCGATAGTTTAGTCTAACTCCCACCACCCACTCTAACATTCCTATCACGGGCATGTTCCCAGACTTAGTATTAATTGTTGCCGTCTTGTGTTTGCAATAAACTTGAAGGCACATTGAAATTCAAGAGATATCTCATTCACTGCTAAACTGGACTTGTTCTGATAATTCGTACATATCAAGATCGAAACGCTTTTTGAATATGAAATTGTTCCGTGTGAATTTTTTGCAACTTGCAAACCAAATAATAGGTATGTACGTATTTTATATGTAACTAGCCGTTGCTCGCGACTTTGTCCACGTGAAATTAACAGAATAGTAAAAAAACGTTTATTAAAATAGCCTACGTTAGTTACTGATAAAATAGCTTTTTAATTGTGGTAGAATTTTTGATATCGGTTTAGTAGTTTTTGAGTTATTTCAACACATGCAAAAATACAAATCTTTTCTCTTAAATCTATACTGTTATAATAAAGCGTAAACACACACTACTTTGTTGCTTAAGATGTCAGCAATTCCAGCATATTTTTGAATAATTCTTTTTTAAAAAAAAGCCCTACACTTACATCACGCTTTAGGCTATATATTTTCACGCCGTTAAACTAAGGAGTTAATATTTTGGATAAAAACCTTAATGTGGGAAAGAGACCATAAGTTGCTGCCAACATTAAGGAAACAAGGTTGTCATCATGTCATGTCATTTAGACACTTGGAATTGATAATTTGACACATGTAAACAATATTATAAAATTTTCATAATTTCATGCGGACGAAGCCGCACGGGAACAGCTAGTATTAGTATAAATGTGGTTTGGGTATTTTATTAGAGGTTGGGGATTAAATAAAACGATATATATTCCTTTACATTAAATTATCAAAATTTACAAGTGGCTGTTACACAATAGTTAATATCTACTATACATGACATTTTCTCGGTAAGAAAAACAAGGTAGCATTACATTTTGCTTACAAATATAAAGACAGTTTCATTTTAAAATTTTTAAATACATCGATTTTTTTAATCACGATAAATTTTGGAAAAAACGTAATATTTTATAATAAAAATAAACATAAATTTAGTACATTTCAAGATTAATATTCGAACGGAAAATAAAAATTGTTTACATTTAAAAAAAATCTGCTTTTTACTTTTTAAAAATGCAGTCTTATAAGCTCCTAAGTATTTTACTCTATATTAAAAGCAAAGTAATCATGAATTCTGTTAATTGACTAGCAATAAACCTATTCAATATCTTCTAACTATATTTTCTCCATTGTACAGACATAAATATGCATAAACCTTGTTTTCCTCATATTAAGACTTATTACCTATAAACGATTTGTAATGTCCGGTTTACATGAATCCAGTCTAGCGATCATATTCGTTGGATTACAACTGGAAACATGTAAACCCACTCAATGCATTCCAGTGTAGTTCTACATTGTTCCAATTGCAATCCAGCGTTGGTTTCGATCGCTGGACTGGATTTTCGTAAGCTAGGCATAACCGTGCGTTCACAATGCCCAAAACAGATAAAAAAATGTTTCATGTAAACTGCAAGTAAAACAAAATAACCTCGTCTACTTAATACCTGGCATTTTAGATTTTAATGGCGTTTATTTTGTGTGAAACACTAATATTTCGATTTTGTATCCTAAAAATATATTTACATCTTGAACAAGAATTGACTACAATCATTACAAATAACTTAAATACGACCAAAGTTTTACAAACTTTGTTTATTAACAAAAAAAATCAAGTTTATTTGAACATATAGTACATTGAGGTTAGATATTTAACATAAAGTAATGTTCCATTACAAACAATAATTGCACTATTGGTGGGTTCCGTAGACCACATTGACTGATTATCCATTCTTGAGCGTTGGATTCTGTAACAAAAAATTCTACATTGTTTAAAATGTTCAGAGTTTTTTGAAGGTAAGTCGGTTAACTCGTCAAAAATAATTTATTACTCAAAAAATGAAAAAATAAAAGTATGTACTTTGTAACAACTAAATAATACTTTAAACGGTATACAAATGTATCATTCTAGTCAGCACTCTAGTAGCAAAAAATATGATACCAAAAAACTAATATAATAATCTCATGTATTTTTTTCTAAACTAGTTCAGTAGATTTTTTAAATTAGTCATTCAACACTGGACACTATAGAATTAAGGATTAATTAATGATTAATTGACATCTGATTGAACGTGTAAGTATACGTGCATGCATGCGAGCACGTGCATGTAAGTACGTACAGTACCACGTAGATGCGTACGTGCACCTAGGTGGGTACAGGCAAATACGTACACGTAAAATAAATAAAATGAAATAAAACAATGAAAAAATAATGTTTAATCCTTAACAACTCAATCAGAAATAACAAAAGAAAAACATAGATGACATAGTAATTAAGTAGAAAAAAAATGTAATTACATAAAAATGCGTACGTATGTGCGAGCACGTGCACGTATAGTAAGTGCGTGCATGCGTTGCATACCTGCATATGCTAGGGCGGCGGCGCGAGCGGCACGAGCAGGGGCTCGCGAGGGCGGCGCGGGCGGCGCACGGGCGCGCGCGGCGCCGTGCTGCGCAGCCGCGGCCGCCCCGGCCCGCGCCGCCCGCGCCCCTCCGCGGGGCTGCGCTCCACCAGCGACTCCAGCGGCGCGTCCGATTGCAGCAACAACGCACCTGAAACACCACTTTTATACTCATCCCTAATACAAACACAAATGTTCCCGACTATTTAAAACATATTGTAGCAAAATGTTAATTTTAGATTGAACTGTTTGAGGGCGGATAATTCGTACAGACATTGGGAATTGACGACGATCGGTCATCCGCAATTTTTACTTCTTTATGGTCAATCGCTGACTACTTGACTCACTCAAAGGCAGCGTTGTCATGAGCGTCATTTATATTTTTCTTACTTCTATTTATTATTATGCAGTTATTGAACTATTTAATTTGTTTTAAACATTACATTTTAAACACCAATTGTTTATTTCTACGAAACAAAATACGAACATTCAACACTGTTTTCTGACATTGCAGAAGATGTTATGTACTCAGGGTTTTACCTGGAGTACTTTGGACATCACCGTACAAACAGAGGAAGTAAAATTTGTATGTATATATCCATGTAGCTGACCTGCGGCGAGGGCGGCGGGGTCCGGGGGCTCGGCGGGGGCGGAGGGCGCGGGCGAGGCGGCGCGGGGCGCGGCGGGCGCGGGCGGCGCGCGGCGGGCGAAGGCGTGTCGCGAGCCGCGCGGTCTGCCGCGCCGGGCGCCGCGCGCCGCACGCATGCCGCTCCATCCAGTACGCACGTTCGTGTACGCTGCAAACAAATATTACTTCAAACTACGAATTCTATGTTGTTATCGGCGTCTTTTATATTATAAGGTGGTAAACTAGCAAATGGTCACCTAAATTCGAAATGAAGCGACCTCTATAGCATAGACATCCGCAATTCCAAACACGTTGCCTACCCTTGATTGACGGTGGAGACGCACATAAAGGGGATATTTCCCCTTTATAACTAATTTCTATATCAACAAATAACTTGAATAATCGGATAACTTATTTTTGTCAACCAACAAGTGGTAGGTAAATCAAAATCACTAGCTTAACATACGTTTTCTTAGTTTTTAACCTACTGAGACAAAATAGTTTTCAAGTGGTATAGTATATATACTAACGCAGTGGGGAGGGATGCGGCGTGGTGTCAACCACCAAAATGTCATCATCATCCACCTGCAGCGGGCTGCCGGGCTCCGAGGACTCCCGCGACCGCTTCACCTCCACTGGACCCGGTTGCTGAATAAAAATAACATTTTTACATACTAATCTATACAAATAAAGCGTAAACACTTCGTGGCGTAGGATGTCAGCAAAAAGCCCTACACTTACGTCACGCTTTAGGCTATATATTTTCTATATAATTGGTATTTTGACATTTGCAATTGAGAATTTGACAAATGTAAACAATAAAATAAAGTTTTTATAATTTCATGTGGATGAAGCCGCACGGGAATAGCTAGTATTAAAATAAAAGTGTAGCGGTGAATGTTTATCGAACTGACGTCCAAGTATTGTTAGTTACAGAAATAATTTACTCACAGGTGATAAAATTCCTAGTTTTCGCTTTCGTTCTCTCTCCTCCATTAACTTCTTTTCCTCTGATTTTTGACGATCTGTAAAACACAAGATAGTTTAATCTTACTAACATTAAAAAAACGAAACTTTATATGAATATTTGTTAGAGTGTAGCCTAAATGACTGAACGGATCTCGATGAAATTTGACATAGATGTAGAGGATAGTCAGAAAGAACCTATACTACTTTTTTTTCTTTAATTCCACGCGGTCGGAGTCGCGGGCAAAAGCTAGATTATTAATAAATAGGATAAACATGTATGTGATAAATTAACATAATTACATTTGAGTTCAATTTCTTCATCATCCAGCAATAATGACACCACTTCTTTTGGCTTGAGCGTGTCCGGCTTGAAGTTGCCACCACTTATCACCATCCTTTGAATCTATTTATGAAATAATTTTTTAATAAGGGTTTCTTTACATCAAAAAAATATAAATGACTACACGGATTTTCAACTAGTAAACATTCCTAAATGATTTGCTAAATAAAATGTTAAGGACTAAATAAAAAACTTCAATATTGACTGGCGACCACTATTCTCATGAATCCATATATTCAAGGAATTTAAGTTTCTTTATGAACTATCGATATTCGGTTTAAATAAATAAAATTTATCGAACTTAACTAATTTATTATTTACTTTTTTACTGATTTAGATAACAATTCTAGTATTATAGTCTAGAGAATGTAGCGATCCAATTCGATTACATACGGCTGTAGTAGTAATAAATATTTATTTAATATCATTATTTGTAATGGTTCTGCAGGTCATTATTAATTTGAGAAAACAGTGTTTTTTTTTTAATTCACAAGCTATTACTGTGAATCTATCGATTCCAATTTCTATAAGAATAAAAATCGATAATTGATGGCTGCTTTTACACAACCCATCCCTACTAAATTGTCAAACTAATCTATTTAGAGAAAGCATAAGTGCTAACTTCACTCTTTTCGGTGGCGCGCTGCACGATGCGCTCCTCGATGGTGCCGCGGCAGATGAGGCGGTACACGGTGACCTGCTTGGTCTGGCCCAGGCGGTGCGCGCGGTCCATCGCCTGCTGGTCCACCGTCGGGTTCCAGTCCGAGTCGTAGAATATCACCTGCACACGAACATACACTTAGGGCCTGTCCCACCACTGGCCGATAGCTCAGATAGCTTAAAAATGACGTCACTGTCAGATAAGGTAACCGATATTTCCATCACATTTTTTATAAGTTGGATTGTTATCAGACAATTTACAAGAACTTGGTAGGACTGACTCTTATTGTCCTATGTCCCCGAAGTGGGACAGAAGACGTCCATGGTTTGCCGCTACTTACCACAATAATAATGAAATATATTCTTTGTTGGATACTTTGATCGATAGATGGCGCTGATGCATTAATGGAAAATTAACTGTTTTAACGCTAGAGATTTAAAAAGAGTAAAGTAAAATAAAAAATGTTTAAAACCTTTAAAGTGTCGTGGTTTTTACAAATATAATGTTCATAAAATATAGGTTTCTTACCACAATTGGGTTGTTTTAGCTTCAGATATTTCGATATGTTCACGGGCTGATTAAATGAGGTAGTGTGAAAAATGTAGAGCTAAAACAACCCATTCGTGGTAAGAAAAAACCCTATCTTAAGAATATAATGTTTAAATCCATACATATTTACAATAATACTCACAGTATCAGCAGCAGTAAGATTGATACCGAGCCCACCAGCTCGCGTCGATAATAAAAACACAAAAATGTCGGTCCGTGCCTGGAATAATCATGAATTTTCTATTAAACGATTATTTCTTATAAATTACAGTTGACTTGAAGGATTTTCTATTGAATAAAATGATTATAGAATTTGTTATGTATAAAATTACCTGAAAATCGGCGACCATATCTCTACGAGCGGAAATTTTACTTGAACCATCTAATCTCATATATTTATGCTTTCTGTGCCACATATATTCCTGAAAATATAAACATAATATTAAACCAGAGTGAAAAATATACTAGAAATTAACACAAAGGTTTCGATTTTAATACTTTTATCACAAACTAGCTGTTGTCTGCAACTTCGTCCGCGTGAAATTAAAAAATAAAAATAATTATAGCCTGTTACTGATAATGTTTGTAATGTAATCTTTGTAATGGCGAAAGAATTTTTGAAATCGGCCAAGTAATTTTTGAGTTATATCACTACATACAAAAATACAAATCTTTAAAAAAGTATAGATAACTAACGACATACAAAATAGATACTTACTTCTAAGAGATCAATCATTTTGGTCATCTGGCTGTAAATCAGTACTCTATGTCCACGCTCCTTCAATCTCTTCAGTAACGAGTCCAGCACAGTCAGCTTGCCCGCGTCGCTCACTAACTGATTCTTATCTGAAAACCAAAACATTTAAGAAATATATAGACTAGACATACGGAACATTTTTTTCACCGGTAACTTCTTTGAATGGTACTATGTCCTTATATAGAAGTGTTATAAAACATTTTAAAAAATTATAATAAGCATATTTTGTTATAAAATAAACTAAACTGTGTCACCAATTAAAGTAAAAACATTTAATTTTGAATTAATATCTATTAACAATTTAAATTATTCAAGAATTAGAGAGTTGAGAATGCATAAAGTTCTCAATATATCCGGTATTTCAGTGTGTCTCTTGGCATAGGCCTCCTCTAAACATTTTTATTGATTTCTGTCGTGGGGAATTCTTCCTTAATTTAAATAGAAATATCTATATGTTACTTGAATGCGAAATAGCCAGCTAAAAACCAGGGCAGAAAAGATAGTCCCTATTACATACGCTGAGTTGGTTACCTTTTGCCACAATTGTAAGTTTCTTTAGAATAAGTCGTTTTATGTAATTTCTTTTTGTGGCAATAAATACATATTCATTCATTCATTCCTTCATTCATTCTTGTATATATTTATTGAATATCTTTGATACGTTACCGGGTACTTGCAGCGAGGCCCAGCCGGTGTGCGGGCGCGCGCGGGCGACGAGCGGCGCCAGCGCGGCCCCGCCCCCCCGGTGCGCCGCCTCGCGGTGCGCGTGCGCCCGCGACACCGCGAACGACATACGCGTGTGCGCACTAACCTGAATACATATTTTATTCAAAGTGGGAAGAAATATATTTTCATATTCTTTACAATATGTAATAACTCATTATTATTGATTTTTTTTTATATAAGTTATCATCATACATAATACATAATGCGAAAGTGTAGATGGATGGATGAATGTTTATTAGTGTTTTTACCCTAACCGGTTGAACAAGTTTCATGGAAATTTGGTATAGACATAGAGGATAATCTGGAAGAACACATAGACTTTTCATTTTTTTTATATTCTTACTAACATAAATACAAAAGTTTAGATAGATGGATATTTGTTACTACCTATCTCCAAAACAGCGACCAAATTTCATCAGATATGGTTAATCTTGATGAAATTAATCATAGAAGTAAAACGGTCTGGACGAACACGTAGGGTACTTTGCAAACTTTTTATTTAATTTCGCGCTAACGGAGTCGCGATCAAAATGTAGTCCCCCATATTTAAAATGAAAGGTTAACAATATTAACAGTGATACCTTCTCCTGTGCAGTGTATATGAATGCAGGCAGCGCTGTGGGCGTGTCTGCGCGGCGCAGCGGCGCGCGCTCCACGTGCGCCAGCTCCGCCGCCTCCACGCACATCACCCCGCCCTCCTCTGTCTTTATTTCTTGCAGCATCTCACACTGCAATACCTTATTTATTAATATTACAAACACGAAAAACTATACACAATTATGGAACAGAAAAATTAGACCAATATTATCAGGATTGTGTATTGAACTTTTCTGATAACTAACAAGTTACCATTTATTAAACGTGCCAATTCAAACGCCGAGATAGTCTCGATATAATTATAATGTAACTATTGCTCGCGACTACGCCCGCGTAAAATTAAAAAAATAATAAAAAGTATAGCCTATTTTACTCAGTCACAACATAGCTATTTGTTATTAAAATGTTTTTTGAAATCGACCCAGCAGTTTTAGAGTTATTTTAATATACAAAAATAGAAATCTTTCTTCATAATATTACTATAAATAATATTCCTTTTAAAGTGAACTGATATTTGTACTACAAATTGAATAAACTGACCTGTCCTTCCGTCTTCAAGTTCTTAGTCCTCATTGCTCTGTGCTCTACAGTCTCAGCCATGAAGTGTATACAGTGCTCAGTGTGCGCATAGAATGGACCACCTATTAATTATTACAGTTTAATTATATTTTATTACACATTTTACTACAAAACTTGGGACATACGTACAATAGACTAAATAAATCTAAAAATAAAGAAATCAATAAATGTACATTTTTAACTGGTTATCGCCCGCATCTACGTCCGCATGGGATTTAAAAGAAAAAAGCAGCAGCCTATATATTAATCAAGCCTACATTCTACATCTATATCAAATTTATCAAACATCCCTCCATCCACAATATTAGTAAGTTTTAATACTTTTGTATTGTCTTACCTTCAACCCACCGAGGATCTGTGAATAATAAATCATTCCATAATAAACTATCATGTTTCCGTTGCTTTAATATATCAGCGTCAGGACATACAAGTAACATATCTTTAATATCTGTTTTATTATAATAATCCGGTGGTATGTCTATATGTTCATATTCCTGTTTTATACAACTGTCAGTATAATTCCGCCACCATTGGCGTCTGTGACGTAATTTCTCATATTTCTCTTGACATTGCTCTAAATGCTCTATCCTAAAAATAAATATCTTATTATTTGTAACAACTTTTTATTCTTTATATGTTTAAATATAGATATTTGAATAACTTCATTTGTAGAAAATATAAGTATAACAAAATCCAATATTAATTTCGAAATGATTTTTGCGTGCCAGCAAACTAATTTTATTTCCATTCCCACCCTTTTCTTACATGAAGGGAAGGAAAATAACGATTTGACAAAGATGAATATAATGGGGAATATTAACAAGAAATAGCCTCGTTTGTGCTTACTTTGACGATTAATCCATGAGCATCTGTTACTTCGCTATTTTTGAGAATTCAAAACCGTTTGCTTGTATGCCACCTTTTGTATAAAAACCCTTTAAAATTCTACCAGCAAATTGGTATTAATTGACACTTTCCTTAGCTTTCCCATTGTAAAAACTATAAAAAAGTCCACTTACGCTAACAACCATCCACATAGCATGATCCTGTACAACTCCATAGGCGAAAGATCAATAAATCTTGTAAAACTGAAACAGTTTCCATCGTCCATACTCGTGTGTACATACTGCGGGGTCAGTATCGACAACTTGTTGTACAACAAGTGTCGTGTGGACGGCACACTGTGCAGTAATATACCATCTTCTGCGATTAACTTAGGCATGTGGTAGTCGTCGACATGCATCGCAAACGGCGACCTTACATCACGCCTTTCGAATAGTTCTGGATGATTACATACCTAAAAACAATAAAAGTATGAATTAAAAGTTACTTTAACCAAAAAATATTGTAAGGTGACAAACAATCGGACACTAGGATTTCCCAAAATAGCGAAATGACCGCTATAGACAGCAACATATGTAGAAGCGTTGCCTAACTTCAGTTAACAGAGGAGACGCACTCAAAGGATATTTCCCCTTATTATATATTTTCTATAATTTGTATAGATCTTTCACAACTATGCTTTTTTTCATACAATTAATAATAATGTACCTTTTAAAGGTAATTTTTAAAACCAAACAGAATTTAACAGAAAACATTTCTTAACAGAACAACATAACTTACCTTTCTAAATTGCATAACTAAATTCATTAGATTCGATGTGAAATTCTTATCAACATTATGACCAGATTCCGCTCCCACTGAATAATGTAGTAATTCTTCGATTTTTATTTTCTTCTTTAAAGCTGTGTTAGAAAAACAATACTTATTATTAACAACAAAAGACATGTAACAAATCCTACTGAACACTAGTATTTTAATACGAAAGTTTAGATGGATGGATGTTACTATGTATCTCCAAAAGTTAAAATGCCGCCATTTGACTATTGTCGTAAAGAATATAGAACAAAAAGTTACTTGAGAGTAGTACAAGAGAATAGTAAATAGAAGTACAGAAGACAATAAAAGTACAGTAGTGAATGGAAGTACAAGAAATATCAGTGAATTAACAAAAATCCGCTAATAAAATCTATATTTTTATTTAAAACTAAGAGAAAGGGAGTAAAAGAGATAAATGCGAATAAATAACAGCACACATACCTATATATAGTAGTTTTTGTCTTATAGTTAAAGGGCAGTGAACCATAATCTCAATTTTATCAGACAATTCGTTCTCCACATCCTTCTTGATGCGTCGTAACATGAACGGCTTCAATATCATGTGCAAGCGAGATAGATGCTCTGAAATAATATAAAATATTCCTTAATGTACTATAAAAAATTAGCTATATAAAATTTCTATTCCTATGAGTCTCTTTTAAATAAAAAAAGTAAAAAAGTATAGATTACTGTACAAATAACATTAATCATAAAGAGGAAGGATTTGCATTTTTGTATGTAATAGATAAATTTAAAAACTACTAGACAGATTAAAAAAATCTTACACTATTAGATCTCTACATTATCACTGAGTAACATAGGCTATATTTAATATTTGTTCAAAATGTTTTAAACAAATGTCCATCCATTATACCAGACAGTTCGTGAAAGGATCTTCTATGGAAATCTTAAATCCATTAAATTATGAACACTATTTCTATCTCTGTTTTGTAGTGAGAATGAAAGAGATAGCTTTATGTTTATCGGTGACTTACTTTCATCAATAGTGCTCTTGTTCTCGGCGTGACTCTCAATATCTTTGGAGAACCACTCGTTGAATTCCTCGTGCGAGTCGAATAATGTCGGCATTATAAAATGCAATAATGCCCACAACTCCGCCATACTGTTTTGTATCGGTGTACCTGTTAATACACATATTTAAAAAAAAAAAACTTGCCTATATCCCACTTTATATGGGATCCCAATAAGATATCTTAAAAAGTAAACATGTTACTTATTGCCATAGATTTTTAAAACAAAATAAAGCAGATTAACAAACAAAACTGGATCATTTAATTTCAGGACTTAAATTAAATTATGGCCATCATAAGTAAATTTTAGTTTTTAATCTTCTATAATGTTATATAATAATATTAAAAAGAGGAAAGATTTGTATTTTTGTATTTCTGTATGTATTAAAATAATTCAAAAACTATTAGGCCAATTTTAAAAATTCCTTTATCATTAAAACTACGTTATCACTGAAAAGCACAGACTATATTATGCATATTTTTTTTTTAATTTCATGTGGACGAAGTCGTGAGGAAAAGCTAGTCATTTATAATTTTAAATTTTCCTTAAAAATAATAAGTCACTTTCACTCTTTTAATACACTAACCTGACAAAAGCAGTCTATTCCTACAACTGAAGCCTAGTAACAACTTCCATCTCATACTAGCGGAGCTTTTAATAGCCTGAGCTTCATCGAGGATCATGTACTGCCAGGACACGCGGTTCAGGTACTTGAGGTCGGAGACCACGATCTGGTAGGAAGTGACCACCACGTGGAAGGCCGCCTGCCTCGTGTGCAGGTCCTTGCGCTCCCAGAACTGACGTAATATCTTACGCTCGCTGGGACTGCCCCAGTACGGTACCTTAACAAAATACATGAAAAAGATTTAAAAAAAAAAACTAAATTAAATGTTCTAACCAAAATAACACATATTAATGGTTGCTAACCTCCATTTATGATAGTAATTCAACGGTAAGGATCTTTGTTACAGACTAGATAACTTTAAATACAGCAGTAAGTTGTTTCACCAGATCAAGTACAAAAATTATAAAAAATAAGTATAAAAATTAACTGTTGGATGAGAATAAGTTGATTCGCAAGTTTGGATGGATGGATGGATGTTTGTAAAATAATTTGGAAGTACACATACTATACACAACTATATACTAAGAAATGTCGGGTGTAACACAGTGACAGTGACAGTGACAATTGACAGCTAAGAAGGCATTAAGAGAAGACTGGACGTGTACACGAAATATGTTGTGAATAATTTATACTACTGATATACTATTGTTATAAGACTAATAAAGAAACTCTACAGGCTAGAAGCAGACATTCATAAATACATAGACTTAGGCATAGTTAACACTTTTTTTCACCAATACTTTCTTTAAAAGGTTTTACTATATCAGTCAAGTCCAGTGCCCCCTCTTGTCAAACATTGTACAATTATTTTTAAGAGAACTATTGGCAATTAATTTAAATACAATTATATTGACATGTGGATGGCTACAAAGGAAGTGGAAGACCGAAGAAAGTATGGATGGATTGTGTGAAAGAGGATATGCTTAAGAAAGGAGTGGATTCAGATATGACGGCTGATAGAGATGTATGGAAGAGCAGCACATACTGTGCCGACCCTCCATAAGGGATAAGGGTAAGTGGATGATGATGATGATGATGTGGTTTTAGAGATCCATCAATAGATTTAGTGAGTGAAGTGTCAACTATGCCTACTCTGTATATATTCTGAATCTCTGGCTAAAAGCACACATACAACTTTAAAGTCCGGCACGAATCTCTGCATCTCCTGCTGCCAGTTGTGCAGCGTGGAGGCGGGCGACACCACGAGGAAGGGCCCCCACACGCCGAGGCGCTCCGCCACGTGGCACAGGAACGCGATGCACTGCACCGTCTTGCCCAGCCCCATCTCGTCCGCCAGGATGCCGCTGATGCCCTGACAACACGCATCAATTACTTTTACTTACCAACAACGCTATATTACTTTCAAATGTTTATAATGTTTTATTCATTTTTATAATACTTCAATATTGTATTTTGTATATTATTTATTAAAATAACTCAAAAACTATTGGGCCAATTTCAAAATTCTTTCATTATAAAAAACTACTTCATCAGAGAGTAATATAGGCTATTATTTAATTTCACCCGGGTAAAGTCGCGAGCAACAGCTATTGTAATATAAAATATATAAGTTTTTTTTCTAAACTTTCCGTTGGACAATTACTTTAAGAACAATTATATTACATACATATGTTGTTTATTATTTTTCTCAAGGGTATCGTAGCTATTTATTAGCGAAAGAATTTTTAGGCCAGTAATTTTTGAGTTAACTCAATACATATAAAAATACACATCTTTTCTCTTTACAATATTAGTATAGAAACATACCTGGTCGTATAGATTAGCTAGCCAGTTCATTCCTTTAAGTTGGTATCCCTTGAGCGTGCCGCGGAATATGTTAGGCTGTGCGTGGTCCCCGGGGGGCGTGTCCGTCGCCGCGCCGAACTGCCGCGCACGCGCTCGCTCCGCGCGGAACGCCTCGCGTGCGTTACGCGACGCACGCGCTTTCATCGCCTCGCTATAACGAACATTTATTATTAACTCACATATATCTTTATTCTTAACTATATAACCTTGCCAGCGTGCAATTTAAATATATCCTGTTACTCACAAAGTTACATTTCTAACGGTGTAAGAATTTTTAAAATCGGGCAGTTTTTGAGTTATTTCAATACATACTAAACTACATATCTTTCCTCTTTATAATATTAGGCTATTAGCGATTAAATTATTGAATAATAAATTTATCACATACAATCTGATTTAATTCATAATTTAACAAAATAGTGGTGTACATGCAGGATTTACAATTTATTTAATTGAAAATTTATTTATTTAACACTCAATGCACAAACAAAATGTAAACTAAAACTAAGCTTATCAACTACAAAAATTATGGAAAGGCGGTCTTATAAAGGGACATTAAGATTGTTGAAAAATTGATCAAGTATCAATTAAAATTCAACTAGTTACTACTACTATCATATCATACCTATCATAGTTATCAATTCCGGCGAGCCGTGGGTCGCGGTCTTCATCCAGCTGTCGCAGTATGCGGTCGGTGCCGCAGTCGTCGTCCCCGCCCGCGCCCCCCGCGCCCCCCGCGCCGCCCGCACTCAGCTTGCGCTGCATGAAGTGCGCGTACAGCTCCGTCTGAGTTATCAGGAAGTTCAACTTGCGACGTTGCCGCTTCGCTTCCATCAGTTCCACGTCCATCTAAAAGATAAACAAATTAAAGGAACCGTATATGATGAAAAATTATTTGTATTACCCGTGTCTTTGTATCTATATTCTGTACTAATATTAATATAATAAAGCGTAAACACACGACTTAGTTAGGATGTTTACAACCATGGCATGTTTTTGAATATCTCTTTAATTAAAAAGCCCTACACCTACGACACGATTTAAGCTAGATATTTTCACACTATTAAAGTTAGGAGGTAAATAAATTGGAAAAAACCATAATGTGGGAACGGGACCAAAAACTACAAGCTGACATCAAGGAAGCAAGGTTGCCATGGCAACGGTTATGGTTATTTAATATCAATTTCAAAGGCCTTTGTTGTCATTTGCAGTTGAGATTTTGACAAATGTAAACTAAAATAAAGTTTTTATAATTCCATGCAGATGGAGCCGCATGGAAACAGCTCCTCAAACTTTTTCCCGTAAAAATGGATATTTGTATCACGCTGTCACATAAATGGTTCTATTAGAAGGTCAAATAACACTGGTTGTTACTGTTACACTAATATTGTAATTACCTTCCTCTGTTCCTCAGCCTCGCGCTCCATACGTCTGCGCGTCTCCCGCTCGGCGCGGTCGTAGCGGCGCCAGTAGGCCTGCATCTCGCGACTCAGCCGCTTGCAGCGCCACACCGTCTCCTTCATGTTCTTTTGTGACTGATGCAAACATAAAACTTATTTTTTATCTATCTTACTAACCTTACTAATATTTTAAATGCAAGGCTTGGATGTATGGATGGATGGATTTTAGCCTATATTGCGGAACGGATCTTGAAATTTGACATTTATATAATAGTATGGAAGAATTCGCAGGCTACTTGATTTTTTTTAATCCAACGCGCGCAAAGTCGCAAGAAACAGCTAGTCTATTTAAAAATAAACCTAAACAATAATTTCTCATATTACATTTTGAAAAGGCAAGATACCTAAGCAAAAGGTAAAATATTGGATATTCTCACAAACTTTAATCAAATCAAGACACATCTCAATATAAACCAGACAGACTTAGTCTGTGACTTCGTCGGCGCGGTATTAATAAAAACTTAGTAAGAAGTTTATGTGTTCTTGCAAATAATGTTCTACATCTGTTTGGCACATGTAGAACATTGTGATTGGTTAAGCCATTCTGGAGATAGCTTCTAAAAACATCCATGCATCCAAACTTTCGCACTTATATTAGTAAAAGTAAGATTATTTTAGTTGTTCCAATTCATTTTCAAAACAAACATGTTCAACAATAGACCGGATTTATAGAATTTAACCTTATAAGGTTATATATTATGCATTATAATGCATAATGAGGTAGATTTAAGTCTACAAGACCTACTATACCTCCTTGACATCATATTGCAAAATCTTATTCCAGAAAGTTCCTTAATACCTGCATAGCAACATGTCTCCAGTGCTTGCAGCAGAGTGTGGCCAGCCGCTTGCTGTGCAGCACCATCTCACGGTGTGCTGCACCCCGAGCTCGCTGCACTTTACCGAGCTCCTTCTTTACTAACAACTGCCAATGACGTCGGCGACGAGCCGTTAATGCTTCAGGACTCTTTAATGTTGATAGTTTCTTTCTACCCCTAAAAACACAGAAATATTAACATTACAGTATATATTAAAGACTGAATTCAATTATTGATGTTGCTAGTCTAAATATTTTTAACCATTATCTTCAAATTTAAACAATCCGAGGATCAGATTTATCTAATAGAATGTAGTTTTTATTGTTCAGATCACTTACTGGTAACACTCATATTTACAGATTATAAAAGTCATATAAAACTAAGAATACAGTAAAGAATTGTTCCAATAATGATATATTACCTAGCTCCTGGTTTTTCTATAATTGTAAACTCATCAGTATCATTTTCTTCTTTCAAATTTCGCAATTGTTCTTCCCAATCCATTCCATCAGGCTATAAATTAAATCACATATAAAATCAATAAATAGAAACTCAAATAAATGAACATGAGAAAAATATTTTCTTTATAGATTATAACAGTTATTAACATAAAAAAACACTTACCATATCATTTCCTTCATTAACACCAACCCTGTTCTCTCTATTCCGACCTCGTCTAGCTTTCTGTAGACCTCTGATTGCACCTCTTTCAGCCGGCCTCCCTCTGCGGCCTCTTGATGATGGCTGTTGCTGCAGAGGATGGTTGATTCTACGCTCTGGGTATCTATCAATGGTTGATAGTAAACCCGCACCATAGTACATGTATCGGGAATTCTACAAAAGAAATACCCTGTTAGAAGTTACAGAGAAAAAAAATCATGGAGAATATTTAATAATACTTCAATTTAATTAAATATTGAATTGTTTTTTATCACTGGGGTACACTGAAATAAATTTTAGCAAAGCTTGACAATGGTTTTATCAAATTTTTTAGTTATATTAAATTATTAATGGATTTTTTTAAAGATAAGAATACCACACCATTGAATAGATGCATCTTTATTCAAAAGTAATAATTAAGCGACAATAGCCTAATGGTTTGGGGTATGGACTACCAATCTTGTGGTCGAGGGTTCGAATCCCGCCATTCGACTATTGTTGTGAACCATATCCTAGCACAAGCCTAGAGCTTAGTTGGGATGGTTAAAGGAAATATTAGTAAATTAATAATAATCTACTGATATTCAAAAAAAAATTACTAACCCCTGGATCTTTATAATACTTCTTAGCATATTTATTGTGATAATATCTCTCTTTCAGAAGCCTCTTTATCCTAATGTCTTTTGCAGCTGTTGTTTCATCTTCGCTACTTGATTCATTACTTGATGATAGCAAAATATCACGAAGCCATTCTCTCTCCTCACCAACAGAGGCCAAGTTATAAAGACGCAGACGATCACTTTGACGTTCTGGAAATAAAAATTAAATATATGATACTATAATGAAAATACTAATATTATAAAGAGAAAAGATTTGTATTTTTGTATGTATATAAATAACTTAAAGATTACTGGCCAGTTTCAAAAATTCACCATTAGAACGGTGATATATCTGTGAGTAACATAGGCTATATCTATCGGAATGAATTAAGAGCAACAGCTAGTAAATTTTATTAATTAATTGTTTATATCAATAAAAGATTAATTAATTAAAGAAAAATAGCTGAAGATTAATGATTAGATTTATAGAAATAAAATGTATGTTGAAACATTTAATATCTATTACCTATTCAGAGTGTACGTGTTTATTTTGGCCGAAATCAAAATAACAGTGGTGAATTTGTTGGGTGTTGAAATTATAAGCAAGTGTATCAAAACAATACTATTAGATTCTTACCTTGTTTTGTAGTAAGGATACCATGCATTAATTTATCACCTCTGCCCATTTCCTTTTCAAAAATAGAGTCTGAATCATCTTCACTGCAACTGCCACCATCTGAATTTAGAATTCTTTCTACTTGATTCACAAAAGGTCTGATATCTAAGGCGGCTTCCAGCCTTTGCAGATGTATTGGTTTGGCAACTTCATGTGGCTTAAGCACCGTCTTACCCGCATCTGATTTCTCAGACATAGTGCCTAGAAACAAGATATGGTGTTAAGGATGTGGACAATCTTGATGTAAATTCGCAAATAACAATGAAACGAAAAAGTAGCGAGGATATGATAACCACTGCCACACCGCTACTATCATTCACAAATGATGATATATTCGAATAACTCTCGCATCCAGTTAGACCCTAAGTACGGAGTTGGTACTTACTGAATTTTGTATCCGCTGAAATTACCTCACGGTGATTACTTAACACAAAACTCCATAGCATTCACAAAATGGCGAACGAGAATATTCGACAAATCGCTGTCAATGTCGCCGCCCGAGCGGCGCACATAACTACTCATTTCGTATTTGAGCTTGAAAAAACACGAACCCGCCATAATAATTGAAGAGGTTTGACAACTAACAAAATTACGAACAACCACATTGATTGGAGAAAAGAGTAGTTTGTTGACTTTCGACCAATGATGCACAAAACTGTCAAAAAATACACCAATCACTTCAATAGAAAATATTTCGTAATAGAGAACGACTAGGGCTAAATGTTTTTATGAATGAATCCTAGTGATGTATTGATAAAAAAAACCAGAAAAGTTGTTATTTTCGAAATCATCTATTTAAGATTTAGATTGGCACTCTGGAAATTCGAAAGAAGTAAAATATTTCAGTAAAATGAACAAAATCATATTTTCCTCTACATTGATTCTCCTTTTTATTTTTCATTTCGGAATGTATACAGAGAATGAATTTACTGTTTCTCAGAGAAACAGTAAATTCATGTAAGACGACATCTAATTTATGAAGAATCGGCTACTTGATATCGCTAAAATACCTGCAATTGCAGTAAAACAAAAGTTTACTAAAGCAGAAATTCTGTTCCATAGAAGTTAGGAAATGCTGCTTTCCGCTGTAAAAACAATTGGAAAAGAAATGAAATCTAATAGATTGATCTCCCAGAGCTGGATTACGACACTAACAAGCTTTATTGTTATACGATTGCTCAGTGTGATCAAACAGCCATTAGTTATCCTGGTGTATTTCTTTTTACCAATTTCAGTCCGTGATAACGCGAAACTACCCAATTGGATATCCAGTCGCCTTTCGGTTACAGTATAATCATGTACTATCTTGTCGTATAACAATAAAGCTTGTGAACGTAAGTGTCCTCATCCAGCTCTGGGATCTCAGTCTATGAAAATCTCTAACACCTCACTTATTAGAACAAACGCCTGTTTTTTTTTTACATGAGAAGGGGGCAAACGAGCGGCAGGAACACAAAGGTGGTCAACGACGCCCATGGACATTCGCAACACCAGAGGAACTACAGATGCGTTGCCAGCCTTTGGGGAAATTGTAGGCTCGCTTCTTGAAGGATCCTAAGTCGTATTGGTTTGGAAATACCGCCGAGGACAGACCGTTCCACAACGCGGCTGTGCGGGGCAGAAAGTTCCGCGAAAACCGCACGGTTGTGGAATGCCAGCCATCAATATAGTGAGGATGGTACCTGGCGGTCTGTCGTGTCGTCCGATACAAAACTCGGCGGCAGGAATCGTTCCAAACAACTCCTTGGAACACTCCCCGTGGTAAATGTGGTGAAAAATGCAGAGGAAACTGACGTCCCTCCGCAATCGGTAAGAGCTCGGTCGTTGACGATTCGAGTCGCTCTCCGTTGTATGCGGTCAAATGGAAGAAGCTGGCATTGGGGTGCTCCCGCCCAGAGGTGCGAGCAGTACTTCATATGGGGCCGAACTTGCGCCTTGTAAAGTTGAAAGCGGTGGCCCGCTGGAAGTACTGCTTCGCCCTACTGAGCACACCCAGATTTTTAGATGCCAGCTTGGCCTTGTCTTCCAAATGACCACGAAACTCTACGTCACTCGATATGTCAACGCCGAGAATACCGATACTGGCTGTGGCAACCAGGGGAGTGTTCTCAAACCGGAGATTGACGACGAAAGGATCTTTTTTAGTGGTAATGGCGCATACTTGTGTCTTTTTAGGATTGAAATCGACATGATTTTGTCGACCCCAATCCGAGACTTAACCCAAGAAGGTCTCCAGCTCAGACACAAGTTTGTTCCGGTTCTCATCGGCAGTGGCCCGAGAAACATTAGCGCGGGCCGTGTACAGTGCATCACCAGTGCTATCGTCTGCATAACAATGAATGCTGCGTATTCGCAGCATGTCATTGATATGCAGAAGAAACAGGGTGGGAGACAGTACACAGCCCTGTGGGACACCAGCATTGATTGGTTTCAGGTCAGAGCATGCACCGTCGACAACGACCTTGATGCTCCGACCCTACAAGAAGCTGGAAATCCAGGCGCAGAGTTTCTCGTTCAGCCCGTAGGAAGGCAACTTCGAAAGAAGTGCTTTGTGCCACACCCGATCAAAGGCCTTGGCCACGTCCAAAGTAACTGCTAGGGCCTCACCCTTGCCCTCGATTGCATCCGACCATCTATGCGTGAGGTACGCAAGAAGATCACCAGCTGAGCGACGTTGACGAAAACCGTACTGAGAATCGCTTAACAGCTGGTGCTCCTCCAGGTACCTCATAAGCTGGCAATTAATGGTCGTTTCCATGACTTTCGAGAACAAGAGTGCCAACTCAGGAGCGCATGTCCTAAGCACAATGGGAGGAATACCGTCAGGCCCACTCGAGTTGTTGATATCGAGAGATTGCAGTGTCATACGCACTGATCTCTGACGAAAATGGATTTCCGGCATAAAGGTGTCACCGCACGGGATATTCGGCGGGATATAAGCAAATCGAGTCAGTCTATTAAACAACAAAAATATTTGCAAGCTGTACTTGGGCTGTACCACTATCGTTCTGGTACATTAAATTGGGTAATCTGGTATGTCCGCCTAGCGCGTTGAAAGTTGAAAGATAAGATAAAATATTATTGTGTTAGGTTTTATTTTTAAAATAAAAAAATGAAAAAAGAACATGCAAAGGTAAAACTATGCGTTATAAAGTATTACTTCACGCTTTTTTTATTTTTTATCTGGATTTTGCCGTTTTTACCAACATTGACATAAAATGTTCTCAACATTGATCATTTCATAATCTATTTGAATTTAAAAAAATAAAACAGAGCGGCTAACCAACTAATTTTAATCTTGGTTTTTATTTTTAAATAAAAGACATATTTTTGTTTTATTAATGCTTAACAAAATTACTTACAAGAAGTTTATTTGTTTTAAACACTAACATCCGCAACAAAAATCTGATAGGTTTATTTCAATATGGTGGACGTTTGTTGTGCTTTCCAGTGATCTGTTTTAATTTTCTCTTTCACGTGAGTACAAACAATTTGTGAAAAACAAAAATTTGCTAGTTTTCTGTAAAAGTATACAACTAAAAATGCATTAACCTTATAGTTCTATTATTCCTGAAAAGTGACGTTTGGTTTCTTCGCTAATTACAAAGAAATTGTCGCTAGCATCCAGGAAGATGCAAAATCATAAGATAATGTTTTAAACAATATATATAATCATATTAAGTATCTGCAGGAGTTGTTAAAAACAGTTCATTATATTATAAACTTTGAGAAATTAAAGAGCTTCAAAAAATACAGAAACAAATAAGCGCGGGATTATGTGGCTGTATGTTCGCATAGCGTCATTAGTATTGTAGTAGTTCATTGTAATGCACTAATTTGTTTTTCTGGTAATTATAACACTGCACTGAAGATTATTCTTCAATGTTCATAATAATACTGAATTGTTCAAACTTTGTACATTCGTGGAGCATTATAACCTAAAAATTATCACCGGTTTAGAATTGTATGTGGACGTACTAAAGTATGTAAATTGTTATTTTTTTGTTTTTCAGATATATGTAGAACTTTGAGGCCAATATTCCAATAAGATTGGAAACATGGATAATGATGAAAAAGTTCCTACGGTGTTGGAATGTCGTCCAAAAGACGACGGAGATGGTACAAGTAATGTTGACGATGATTCAAAAGAAACGGAAACTGCAATAGACGAAAATATAACTAGTGAAAATGTAAAAAGTGACTTAAAAGAATTAGAAAGTGATTTAGATAGTGTTAGTGACCTAGGAATTACAAACGAACCACCAAATCATGTGGACCATTTGCCCAGTGATAAAGAAGGTTGTGTGCAAAACAGTCTATCTAGTGAGACAGACAATATAGTGCCCTTAGGTAATGAAGAAAGCAGTACTGTGGAGCAAGGTACATTAATGCCCGGTTCACACTTGGCCAATACAGTAGAACAGTAGCAAGCTCCTTAAGTGTTTACACTCTGCCAGTTAATTGATGGTCCAATCAGAGTGCTACTGACCAACTGTACTAGTGTAGTGTAAACCGCTCATCACTGTAGTTTTTTGCAACAATATTTGGTAAAATCAACCCAAAGATTATTTTAATTACTTGGTGTTGGAGAAAAAAATTAGAGCAATACCATTGCTTAGTTCATTACTTCTCTCACATAATTCTAATATTCACAGTAATTATAATATTACAATCACAGAATAATGCCCATGTATGTGGATTATTTATCTTAAAGTTAACAGGGTTGTTTATAGCATTAAAGTTGACAGTTATCTGAGGAGTTTTATGACATTTGTGTAATTGTTGCATATAATTGAAGTTAAACACAATTTTTGCAGGAGTGGTCTAATATACACAAGAAATAATACTTTTAAAAACAAATGTTTAATTGTAAAAAAATATATTTTCAGAAAACAAAGAAGAATCTGAAGAAGTAGACAATGAAATAAATGAAATGAGTACAATTGACAGAAGTAATGATACAGAAAATGAGAATATACCACAAACACCATCAGAATCTGTATCACAAGATAGTATAGATTCACAAATAGAAGAAACAGAAAAACAAGAGGAAAAAATGGATAAAGAAGGAATCACTGATATTAAAGAAGAAAGTACAGGTTTGCAAGAAGAGAATACAGATGTAATAGAACAAAGAACAGATTCACAAGAAAGTACAGATACACAAGATGAAAAAGCAGATAGTAATGAGATGAGTGAAAAAACAGACTGTGTAGACAATGATGGGGATGAAAAAAAAGATGAGGTCGGAAAGCCGGAATTTGAAACTGCCCCAAATATATCAATTGATGAACCCCAAGATGATCATACTCAGGTACTGTAAGTTAATTTCTCAAATGAAAATTGAAATCTAGACTAATATTATATAGTTGAAAGATTTATAATTTTGTATGTTTGATTTGCGTAAAATCTACTGGGGCAATTTGCACCATTAGTAAGATAGTTTGTGATATATAAAACTATGAATTATCAATGTTTTTTGCACATTTTCTTTGAGAAAACAGCCAAAATAAAAAAATCGTGTATAATCTTTTAAAGCTATACTAATGGACAGAATAGAATGTTATTGATATTTTTACTCATTATAAAGTAGGTATTATATCCTTATATGTTAATAAAAATTAAATGTCTATTTTTCAGGCACTTGATCCATTTGATACTTTGTTGAGGGAACAAAATGATTCAGTGCAGGAAACTTCAGAAACAGCAACACAAGCAACTGTTAATGTATTAGATGAGGATGATGATAATGATGACTACAATGCTGATAATCCTGTAGATGAAGATGATGAACATAATGCAGGTATTCATTTCATTTTTAATGTCCACTTAATTAACATTTAACAAGTTAACGTTTCTTAAATTTCTAACATGTTTACCAATATTTTAGTATTATAAGTGTTACTCTTATTTAACTTAATTAAAGTTTTGAACTAATTAAGTTAATTTATGGTCTCTTTATTTACTTAGCAAAAGCTTGAAGTTATATTAGACAGGACATTCAATTTATTTCATTGTAAGAGATAAATGTTAATTATGGTCATGTATTATTTTGTTTAGAAGATGTATCACTAGAAGACAGTGTAGCAGAACTTGGTGAAGAGCCAGGTGCTGATGAAGAGGTATGCTTGCTTCCTGACACTGAGCGGGAGATATCTGAAGCAGATAAAGCTGAGGCGGAGAAGGTTCTTGCTGAGAAAAGAAAGCAGGCTGAGGGTAACCAGTACTATTATACTTCTATTATTTTATCAGAACTGTAGTGTAGATTTATTGTCCAAAACGCTATTACAGCAATACACAATAAGATATCTACATGTCAAAATAACCATATCTGAACAATGATTTCTTTTATTTTATGTTGGTACATAGTTGTTAGTCAATAATAATAATAATAAAATTATTGTATATTTTTTTCCAATGTAGCGGCTGCATCAGAATTAGCAGAATTTGCAGAATTAGCAGAAGAGAGTGAACCTAAAAAAGAGAGTGAAACAGAAGTAGAGAAGGAGAATGATAACACAGAGGAGGCAACAAACAGTGAGGCGGGAGATGCAGGACTTGAAGTAGAAGATGAACATGATGACCCCTCTCAAGAAAATGGAGGTAATTTATGTGTCACACAGTTGTTAAGTGCACTAAAAGGAAATAAATATAGTTTTAAATAAGAAATTACTTTCAACCCTTGGAATCAAAATTCACATACTTCCATCTTAGTATTCATAAATATATGTTTGATTACTATAGTGTTTTATATAATGTTTATGTAAAATACGCAATCTATTTTATAGTAAATCAAATAAAAAGCTAAAAACCCTAGATATAATGCAAAAAAGTATGAAAGTAATACCTTTGCACACTACAATTATCATTAGTAAGTAAGGTAATGAAGAAGACGATTGAAGTACTCTTGCCAGGGTGTTTATATTCCCACTTAATGCCATAACTTACTTATTTTCCAGATAAGGAAAATGAAAATGAAGAATCAGGAGATGCTAGCAGTTATGTGTTGAATACTATTCAAGAAATTGAACCTAAAACAAAAACCTGTTTTCAGTGTAATGTGGAAAAAGACTGCATTTACCATTTACCAAACAATGAAGATAAAGACTATATTTGTAGTGAAGATTGTTTAAAATCTTTTCTATCAGAAAGTCCGACACAAGCTCCGGTTGCCGACTCTACTTATGTTGTTGAAGAAATTAATCCAGAGTCACTTACATGTTCAGAATGTGAAGAAAATAAAACATGCTACTTCTATTACAAATTGGACGGAGAAGACACAAATTATTGTTCAATAAATTGCTTACACAGCATGATGGCAGATGAACAGGACAAATATGTTATAAAACGAAGAAAAATAGTACTAACTGAGACAAAATTAAAAAAAGCTTGTTTTGTGTGTCATGAGAAGAAAAAAAGTTCCTTCTCTATGTCACAGTATGGAATTACACAGTTCATTTGTGACCAAGCTTGTGTTAAAAATTTAAATGATTCAGAAAATGGTAGATATGTGTTGGTAAAGAAACGTCCTGTGCCAAAAGTTAAACAAACAAATACCTCGCAGATGAAACCACCATTGTTAAAATTAAAAGTAATAAGTAATGCAACAGATAAATATTTGGATGAGGCATATAAGGTACAAAATAAGACTCCCGCTATGATACAAGCAGCTAAAGATGAAAGGCAACGAACATTTCTCCGTTCGTGTACTCAATGTTACTTAATGTTGACATCCGAAGAAAGGATGTTGACTTGGGAGACGATGGACTTTTGTAATGAAGTATGTTTGGGACGGTATCAGAATAAGATCGGAGCTAGATGTGCAAATTGCAACTGCGCCGTGCAGCATACTAGTTTAGGGAAATACTGCGTTAGATTTGGATATGACATCCGTCAATTTTGTAATTCCACCTGTTTAGAGGAATTTAAAAAATCCTTGAAAATCTGTTGCTACTGCCAAAAGGATATATCGGCTGGTTTGCAAGGTTTTCTAGCGCCTGTGGGTGATAAAGGACAGTTTAAAGACTTTTGTTCGCAATTATGTGTAGAAAAGTTTGATCATATGAGTAAGAACCCGGTCCCTGCCCCAGTGTGGGCTAAGTGTGCGGTATGCGCGCTGCGTAAAGCGACCACTATCGAGGTGGAGATCAGTGATGGTGTGTCACAGAGGCTGTGCTCCGATCCTTGCTTTGCTGCCTTCAAATTTGTAAATCATATCTTCCCAGGTGAGTTATTATTTATTAATATAACTAAATTTATAAACTATCTAGCTGTTCCCGTGCAAATTCATCTGCTTGGAATTGTAAAAAACTTTATTTGCAAGTGTCAATATTACCATCACTATAATAACCTTGCTTCCTTATTATTGGCAGCTTGTAGTTTATGGTCCCTTTCCCACATGAAGGTTTTTTTCCAAATTATTTACCCCTTAAGTATAATAGCGTGAAAATGTATAGCCTAAAGCGTATCGTAAGTGTAGGGCTTTTTATTAAACAAAGAGTTATTAAAAAATATGCTGTGATTGAAACCCATCTATTCATCTCAACAGTCCCATTTTTAATATTAATGTGGTGTTGATATAATTTTTTTTTACATTTCCAGATCAATGTTGTTGGTGTAAAAAATATTTTGAAAGAAAAATACCAAAATCGTTTACGATCTACGAGAACTCTAGCCCACAATGTTTTTGCACCAAGTCCTGTATGAACGTGTACATCAGCAACTCTCGGCACATAGTACCGTGTAATTGGTGTAAAGTGAAGAAGTACAATTTCGACATGATACGACGTGTTCAAACAAACGGACAGATAGTTTTAATGTGTTCACTAAATTGTTTGAATCTTTATCAAGTATCGGTTAATGCTGTTTCTTCCAGAAGGTAAGTAAGTGTAAAAAAGTGTGTAGTAAGTAATTTTCTATTAAAAATGGATTAAAACTCTTATCATTATGATTTCAGAACAAAATGTGACATGTGTAAACGAACCTCGTTAGCACAGTACCACTTAACAATGTCAGATGCTACAGTGAGGAACTTCTGTACATATCAATGTGTTATGTCATTCCAGGTAAATGTTTTTACCAATATATACTACTAGCTTTTACCCGCGACTCCGTTTGCACAGAAGAAAAGTTGAATTTTTTCTAGACTGGTCTATATCTGTGCTAAGTTCCAATAAGATGTGTTAAACCGTTGTGGTTTTATCAAGTAATAGTTAAATCAAAGGTATCCTGCGGGGTATCCACACATTTCCGGGATCATAGGTTCTTTTAAACCATGTTTTACACCTGTACTAAATATCACCAAGATTAATTTCGCAGTTTTGGAGATACATAGTAACAAATATCCATCCATCCATTCACCTTAAGTTTAGGAATCATAATATTGGTATAAGTAATTATAGTTTGTAGTATTTAAGTGTTCTTTTTATTCCAGGGTCAATACGCAAAACACCCTCCACTTGTGTCAGGGGAAGCATTAGAACAGACTAAGGCTGTACCGACCGGCGCGCCCAGACGAACATATCCTTCGTCTAAAAATGGTAATTATACCTTTAAATAACATCTTAACTAGTACTGAAAAGTATTATAATAGAATTTAATAGAAGTGACAGGTTATAATAAGCCTTTTAAATTATTTGACCTTTGTAAGGCCTTATAGCCTATCTATGATTATTCATAGACTTTTTAAAAACAGACAGGTTTATATCGTCAATTTAAACACTAATTGTCAAAATAAATCCATAGATAATCAACAATATTATCAGCAAAATGGTAATATTTCAATTGAATTCTATTATTCAATCACGCATCCTATCTTACTACTATGATTTGCATTGTGATTGTGTAATATATGTTTCAACATTTTAATTAATGTACTCGTCATAATTTCTTGCAGCTGCCAAAAATATCCAGCGAAACTCATCGTCATTGCCGGTTATATCGAATGTGCAGTCTCTGGCGCCCCCACAACCTGCAGCCGCGGCTGCGTCTAACGCACGCTCCAAATTAAAACGCTCCGGACAGGCCCCACTCACGGAGCCTGAGCCCACGCCCCGCACGCCCTCGCCCCCGCCCCCGCCACCTAAACCCTTAACTCCGCCCCCGCCTCCACCCCCCAAAGTATACAACCACGTTATAGTGAAAACATTACCCCCAAATGAAGTCGCCAACAAAGCTACTATGACGAAACCTATGATGGTGTCAAAAGGTGTCTCATGCCGGCCTCATCCTTGTACAAAGGAATGTCAAACTGATTCAAGTTTAGAACGGAAAATACTAATACCCATTCCAGTACCTATTTATGTACCCGTACCGTGTGCGATGTGGTCTTTACCCTTCCCGATACCCGTACCAATTCCGTTACCGATACCAACTCCGGTATTCATACCGACAACGAGAAATTCAGCAAAGGGTATTATGAAGGAAATCAATAAGATTCATGATAAAATGCCGACGGATCCATTTGAAGCGGAACTGCTGATGATGGCGGAAATGGTGGCTGGTGATAAGAAGAAGGATCATAGCGATTCAGATACGGATGATGATAATGGTAAGAATTTTATATGAATAGATTTAATTTTGAATTTTCATAGTGCTTTTGCGATCGACTTCTCTTGCGGGGAATAAAAAAAAATTGGTAATATGTAATTTAATTTTGTAATGGTTACACAAATTTTGATAAAGCAGATTTTTATCGCAAACAAAATTGAGCTATATGTGATCGAAATAAGGTATAATTTTACTTTTACACAAGTTTTCCATTTAATAGAACGTGTAGAATTAAATTAAACCTTATTTCAAACTTATAAAGTTCAAATCTCTGTTTTCCAACCAGGTTTGTGTAAACGAAATCACTAATAGTGTCTGTTTTTGTTGTTAGAAGACACATTCAGTCCCGTGGCCGGTATAGACGGCAACAACGCTTTCGGTGAGGACATGCTGCAGATGGCGCTCAAGATGGCCACTGAGTACGAGGACCAGCCGGTAGACCTCGAGTCCGCGATGACTGCGAATACTATCACACCCAGCTCGCATCCCGGTATGCCCGGTATGGACAACATATCGTAATTCATTACTAACTGAAATCATAATGTTGTAAGGAATCGGTCATTATTTAGTATAGAATTAACTCTAATTCGGAATAAGTGTTTTAACATCACTGAATTACTATTTTATTACCTTGTGTTTGAAGACTATGTTGATTTTATCTTCCTTATTTTCGATATTAACCGTTTTCCATTTTGGTTTTCCGTTTTGCACATTGGTTGACATTGAGTTTTTGACCGAGTTCCCATAAGAAGGAGGTCTCAATTCGTCTGTATGTTTTTATGGTTTTTTTTTTATGTGGTGAATATAAAGACAACTTTTTCGGTATGATTTTATCCGTTCATCTAATATTCATTCTTTATATAATACAACCGTAGATAATGTTTAAATCAGTTTTACAGCCTGATATAGATAAAATTGTCTAGGTGAAACGTCATAATTTCTCATTTAAATTGTATTTATCAAGGTCTGGAAGGCGAGAGTATGCACGCGCATCAGATGATGGTGCTAGAGCAGCAGCGCGCGGTGGCGGCGCTGCGGGCGACGGCGCCCCGCAAGCGCGCGCCGGCACCCGAGGCAGCGCCCCCTCCCGCGCGCGCCACGCGCTCCAAGCGCCGCCGCGCAGACCCCGCGCCGCCGCCGCCGGAGCCCCCGCGGGAGCCCGTGGAGAAACCAGACGCCAACATGTGCCTCAAGGTATATCACTACACATTCTGACATCATCATAATCAGCTTTTGTTTGTCCACTGCCTTCCGCATACAAAGACTTCTCGAAGTACGCACGTAGTCATAAACAAGTCTTCATCTTCATCTTCATCTTCATCGCCATCATCTACTAGTGAGCTAGTAATGTCTGATGTGTGTTTTACGGCCCATTCAATGTTCAACACGTGCAAACGCCAGCATTCGCTTCTTTCCTCTCTTCGGGAATGTGTAACCCCAACCATGAATTTAAAAAATCTGCCGTACTGCGGAAAAAGATGGAACTAATTTCTTTGAACATTACAACATTATAAATAAGATGATTGAAGCGCCCACGACATATTTATATTCTTGGTTAGGATGTAATTAATTAAATTATTATTTGTTAACAGAAATATCTTTAAGCTTTATTCGCGGTGTCACGGTTCAAATGGAAATTGCTAGAAATTTTTACTTTTCTTTATCGATCTTTCAGTATACATTCGGTGTGAACGCGTGGAAGCAGTGGGTGATGACGAAGAACGCGGAGATAGAGAAGAGTTCTATACGCCGCAAGCCCTTTAAGTCCGAGATCTTACAGCTTACGGCTGATGAACTCAACTACTCGCTGTGTTTGTTTGTGAAGGAGGTGCGCAAACCTAACGGCAGTGAATACGCACCAGATACTATTTATTATTTGGTTTTAGGTTAGTATTCTATCGTTTATACTATCTATGGCATGTTCAATATTACATGTTATAAACATTTCTGCGGGTAGTCACATAGAAGCACTTGTATATTTTTAAGCCCACAACATTTGTTCATTTAAATTGTTTAAACTATCGTGAGACATTACTTTAAGCGAAAATTAATTAAAAACGGCTCAACTCACGCTTTTTTCTTCCGGTGACGGCCGTCACCGGAAGAAAAAAGCGTGAGTTGAGCCGTTTTTAACATTTGTTCAGTTAAACTCAAAAGTTACAGATAAACTGTAAGTACTAATTGCATGTATCTTTACCTATATATGCTCAATTATCATTGCTTTAATGTTTTAGATAAATATCTCGACTAAACTTATAAATTACCAGCTGTTGCTCGCGAGTTTGCCCTATTAAAAAAAAAAAATGTTACAAATATATTAACTTTCTAACAGGCAAAGAATTTTTGAAATAAACTTATTAGTTTTTGAGTTATTTCAATACATACAAAAAATACAAATCTTCTTTATAATATTATTATAGATTTGATTTTTAATGTATGTATTTTTGTTACAGGAATTCAACAATACTTATTTGAAAATGGCAGAATAGACAATATATTTACGGATCCATATTATGAGAAGTTTACAGACTGTTTGGACGAAGTCGCGAGGAAGTTTTCAGTTTTATACAACGATTCACGTAAGTGTGTAAAATTTTTTATTGCTAATGTCAAAATTCAAATGCATAAATGACAAAAAAGACTTTTGCTATTGGCTAACAAAACCGTTACCATGGCAATCTTGCTTTGCTCTTATTGGTTTGTAGTTTTTTCCCTTTCCGCGAGACATTTTATTCCAATTTATAACCCAAATGAATTATTAAAAAAAAAACTGCTGTGATTGCTGACATCAAAAAACAAATCAAAGCATGTATTTAGGCCTAATTTTAGCCCCTTTCCTTAAGATTATATAAGAGTATATTATTTTCACCTTTTCTTAAGATGACTGAGAAGGAATAGTGGATTTGACATTTTTGGAGGAGACTCATAGGAAGGGGAAACTTCCTCCTGTGTGCGTCTTGGTGCGGCGGATTTAGTTGGCCGCTTGCTCGCTTGTCATCTTATAACATTAAAAAATGCTTTATATTAGTATAGATAGAAAGCAACTAATGTGCCTGTAGACTAGTTTTTTATATTAGTAAGGCTGTAGTTAATAATTATATAAATTTCAGAATATATTGTAACAAGAGTGGAGGAGGAGCACCTGTGGGAGAGCAAGCAGCTCGGCGCGCACTCGCCTCACGTACTGCTGTCCACACTTATGTTCTTTAATACGAAACATTTTAATTTAGTGGTAAGTATTATTTGCCTTACTATATTTATATTACATATAGATTTACGTTAGACCACAGATATCTTACCAATCTATACTTGGGTTCGAATCCCGCCATTTACCAATGTGATTTTCGATTTTTCGAATTTTCATATGTACATAATTTACCCGACGTTCTTACGGTGAAGGAAAACATCGCGATGCTACCTGCACATATCGGCAAAGAAATTCAAAGATATGTGTGAAGTCAACCAACCTGCAGTGGGCCAGCATGGTTGACTATTGCCCAGTCACCCCTTATTAGGGTAGGCTCCGAGCTCCTCGGTGGGGGCGTATAATGAGCTGGTGATGATGATGATGGATGTTCGTGGCCTAGTTTTGCATAGATGTAGAGGATAATCTCGAAGAACACAAAGACTACTTACGTTTCTTTTTTATTTCGCGGATATTACGCGGATGGGGTCGGGTGCGAAAGCTAGTTTTATTTAAATATAGTAATCTATGTTACTCAGTGATTACATAGCTATCTATTGGTGAGAAAATATTTCAGTACATACAAAAACACAAATCTTTCCTCTTTATATTAGTATAGCTTACATAGAGGAAAGATTGACCTTAGACAACTTAGATAATAAATTGAATCACATTTGCAGACTGTAGATGAACACATGCAGCTATCATTCTCGCATATAATGAAGCATTGGAAACGCAACCCCAACCAGCCCGGACAGGCCAAGATGCCAGGATCCAGGAATGTCTTGCTAAGATTCTACCCGCCCCAGTCTGCGCTAGGTAAGTATATTACATAACAAAGATATAGTTAATTTTATAAATATGAACTTCCACCAGTCGCTTGAGAAAAAAAAATCTAGAGAAAAATATGATTTATATAACCAGTCCTATTTGCATTTTACTTATTATGTAAAAATTTTATAAACCCAATCAATAAAGAGTTGTGCTATAATATTTATAATACGATGAAGTATTTTCTGTGTCAAAATGTTAAAGTTTTAAATAAATTTACAGAAGCGAATTCAAGAAAGAAAAAAGTATATGAACAACAAGAAAATGAAGATAACCCACTCAGATGTCCTGTGAAATTGTATGAATTTTATATATCAAAATGGTAAGTTTCTTAATTATTTTTAATATTCACTTGCTACCTATATTCGCAATATAGAGTTTTACGAAATTAAACAATTAAATACAGTTTTATAAAAACAAATACAAAAAGTTATGTACAATATAATATCATGTAAATGAAACTGCTTAGGAATAGCTAGTCTATAATCTTTCTTTTTCTTTTTTTTCTTTTGATTCTTTATAGTTTTCTTTATCATTGAATTATATACTTTTATAACTATAAATAAAAACCTGTCATTGGCCTTACTATACATAATACTCAACGTTTAAGTGTTTTATATATGTACGCTGTTGGTTTTTTTAAATAAATAAATAAAAAATAAAAAAAAAATAATGTATCGAAGGACATTGATTTCATTGTAGACCCGTAATTAACTTTAACACTCAGCCCACCTCTTGTCAGAATGGCGCGCTATTCTAATACGTCTGAATGACATTGACAGCTATCATAGCGACAACGTCTATGGCGTTGACCTAGGGTTGCGCCGATTTTCTTATCAGTTTTTTTTAAAGAGTATTTTATTTATTGTCTCTTTTGAATACATTTCATGGAAGTCTTGGCTCCTTTAGTAGTAAAGTAGGTTGCCCTGTGTCACAGGAGCCAATTCCTTACCCAGTACTTCATTACAATTCATTTAATGTCTACATAAAGAAATATATTACGATTAAGTATTTTGAAACTGATAAAAAAGTTACAAAAAAAACATATCAGATCTTTAAATAACTTGTTTGTGTTGAATATTTGCAGTCCTGAGTCTGTGCGCACGCGCAACGACGTGTTCTACCTGCAGCCGGAGCGGTCGTGCGTGCCCGACTCGCCCGTGTGGTACTCCACGCAGCCGCTCAGCCGCGCCGCGCTAGCCAAGATGCTGCACCGCGTCAAGATGGTCAAGGAGATCAACATCGCGCTGCTCACCAGCTAAGGTACAGTCACGAACATCACCAGTGTTCCACTGTCAGATAGATTTACACCGTACAGGCAGTAAATACCGAACAATACATGTTTTTCCCGACTAAGCATTTTTACCATTATAACGCGATGAACATACTAAATTAGTACACGTTGAATCACTACCACGTTCGCGTGTGCTTACCACCATACATAGCCGTAGTTATCTTACTAATATTATAAATGCGAAAGTTTAGATGCATGGATGAATATATGGATGGATGTTTGTTAGTTTGTAGCCTAAACGACTGAACGGATCTCGATGAAATTTGGTATAAATGTAGTGGATAGTCTGGAAGGACACATAGGCTATTCACTTTTGTTTTTTTTTTAATTCCACGCGTACGGAGTCGCGGGCGAAAGCTAGTTATAGGAATAAACTACAACATTATCTTTTCACTACGGTGTTTTATTTCGTATGTACGGATATACATTGCCCTTTAAAGTGCACGCATACGAATGTTTGAAAATCACTGTTTTGCATTTGTCTAGCGCTCGAAGTGCAACACTTCGTAATAAAAAAACTTAACACTTTAAAAACCCTTACGTATAAATATAAACATTGATGCATTTGTGCTATTGTAACGTTTTTATAATGCGGTTTATAAAAGCGCCTATGTAGATGGGGACTTAGTCGTTCAGAAAGCAAACCCCATAGACAAATTGAGTTTCGACTAATGGTATCGTTAGTAGAATCAAAACGTATGAGAATATAAGTTATGTGGCTTTTAGAGCTTCAATAATTGTTTGAAAGGGTTCTTAAAGTAATAACTGAATTTTTTTTTTCAGATTTCACAATAAAGTCACTAGCTGACTTAGAATATACATCAGTGTTCACGAGGATCCTCATAAACCTGCGGCCGTTTTGAAATCACACGGATCCTTGTATTCTGTGAACGAAGGCGTCATCTTATAAAGTACTAATAGTAATGTATATTTTTTCTACTTGTATATCAATCTGTGAAGAAACATTAAAATGTTACTTTATTGGGTAGAGTTAATAAAACTATTCATTTAATAAAATTAGTTTAAGTGCTCTGTGCGGGACTGTTTTTGTATGTACAGATAATGGTTATAATTCTACCAATTTTATATTGTATCCTCGTTTATATTTATAGACTTTGGTGATGTGGCATATTGAAGTTGAACATTTGTTGTGTTAAAGAAACATTTAAATTTTGTACATAAACGCCAAGCGATTAGCAATTGACAAGTTTCTTGGCCCTAAGTTGTGTTATTCCAATACGAAATGAATCTGTTCATTTTGACTACTATAATGAAATTGTGTATTGATAATGTTAGTAAAATTCCAGATTATTTTGATGGAAATAATGCGCCTGTTTTTTTTTTAAACGAAATATATTAGTATATTATTTTCACAGATTTTTTATTGATATATAGAGTCAGATTCGTATTATAATTTAAGTGTAATGGCATCAGTAAGGTTTAGGTAGGTTACTGCTGTATAAAATGAATACTGATTCTCATATATTTGACTTTTATTTTATCCACCATTCATTTTATTTATAAGTTATCGCTAATCAATCTAGGCTGATTCGCCGGTCGTAATTACGAGAGGCAAGCTGCCTTCAAAATGCACAATAAAAAAAAATCCTATCTTTGTTTTTTATTTATTCGTAACACCTCAATCAAGAAATGGTTAGTGAAATTAATCATTCCTTTTACAACCGTTTTTAATTTGCAGACTTGACGAAGTAGGCACTTTATTTCCGTTGTACTTGTGGGCTATAAACAGCATTATACAACTGTACAACCCAATCGCACTCGGTAAATTTCGACGTGATCACCGCAGACCTAGGCACGTTCTTGACTTCCAAGACGATGCAATTACAATCGCTCAGGCTACGTTTAAACATTTACGCAAAGAGACAACACGCCATAGTCGCTGTCGACTTCGGCAATCATTCCCGCGATACGGCCTCATAGCAGGCAGGTTTTCTCCTATCAATGATAGAAGCGTTGCTGGAGTTTCTTCCGCCACTTCTTCTCCCAGCGCTAACGCTTTCCGAAGTGGTAGTAATGTTAGACGTATTAATATTATTCAGATAGCAGCAACCGATCAAGTAGAGGTTCGTATCTCGGGCGCCCTTGAATCGGAATGCTAAACGCGTATTGATTGACAGCCCAAGCCGAGGTCCCCTCTCGGAGGCCCTTGTGCCTAGTCACTCCATGGAGCGTCCACCGAAGCGATCTAAGAGCTCGGTGGCCTCCTAATCCGGTAATAATAACGAAATAACGGCTCGTGCCAAGGCTCCTGAGGGAGCCCTCGAGCTCAGTTACTCATAAACGAGGTTTAGGCTAAGCGCCTTTTGCGCTCGGCCAACTTAAGCCCGGTGAATCTGTAAATGTCTCTTCAAGGCAAACAGTGGCCATTCAGTCACAAAAAAAATGGCTCGGGCTCAGTTGTAGTCTCCGCGCTCAATCACCAACAAGCTCAATGTTTTACTAGTCGTCACCACGGAACGTTCGATATATATGCGTTGTCGCATTGGAGTTCAGTTTGTGTGTTTTAAAGTAATTTACAAGTATTGTTAATATGGCCGTCCGTCTATATTTTAAAAGGAAGTCGTTTGTGGAAATATCTAACAATCCCTACAAAATTTGAAGTGAATTGTCAAACTAATCTCCGCTGATTGGTCAAAATATGTTGTCAAAATGACATTGTTGGTTCACATGTTTTCCGACTACCATAAGATGCTAGTTGAACGATATACAGAAAAAAATTATAAAAGACAGCTATAGTACGACTAAGTTATCTAACCCGGTGGGTATAAGTTAGTCTTGGGCTTAATCGGACATCTGCAAGTGCGCACCGTAATAGTACAATTGGGAAAACGTACTAGTACACACTTTTAGTACTTTTAGTACTTCAGATTTGTGAAGACACAATACATGAATAGAATATAACGAGGGTTATATATTACTTCACATCAAATTTTAAGCAGGGTCAAACATATGTTATTAGCGAAAATAAATTTAGTTATCAATAATTTTATCCACTTTTGATTCTCATTATCGAAGGTGGATGCTTCAATCTGACAAAAAGGCGAACACCGATATCGTGTAGTGTACTAAAAGTACTAAATGTCCGATTAACAGAAGCCGTTCGGTAACGTTACTTTTAGTACAGTGCCGAGTAACATTACTTTTTAGTACAATGTACGTGTACTACCCAAGACTAGTATAAGTTAATGAAATTATGATAGCTCACAAACGTTTTTCAAAGAGTTTCACAAGATCATTTTCGTACTGTATGTAGCCTGTCGAATTTATTTTCATTTACGTCTTTTTCCGTGCTTACAACGTAGGTTCAGTTAACAAAAAAAAAAATATTTTCTGACAGAAATGACCATAAATATTGTCACTAAATTGTAATTCAGTGTCACATATGCCCACCGGGTCATATAAGTTTGCCGGTCTACGTAACTATTCCCATTGTCGTTAATACCGTTTTTTAAATATCCCGGATATTAAGTAAACAATGTCAAGTGATGGTCTTATATTAATACGTTTTATATAAGGATTTAGATAATCAAAACAGATGTCGGATAAAATTCGATAGTATTGAATTATTTTGGTTCTTATTTCTATTTTTGATAAACTTTATTTGAGCTTTGCGTAAAGTGTAAATTAAGGTTACTGAATTGATCTGTTCAAAGCTAGAATGATGGTGCTGCCATCGGATATAAGTGTAATAAAAATAGTCAAATGCAAATGTCATTGTATATTGGTATTGGTAGCTCTCTCTCTGCTCTTAAAAACATACAATACATATTGGTCCAGCCTATCTGAGTTTGAATAGAATCAGTAGCAAGTCATTTTATAAGTACATAATTAAAAGAACAAAAGCTTAAGACATAGATGTTATATTTTTCTAGAAATAACTTAATTAAATTAAAATCAATACATTATTTGTAGACAATAGGCTATCATGAAGAAGTATTTACAAAATCACTATTGTGATCGCTCGCCATTACTATGAAATGTATGAATTCATCTAGAATTAACGGTGCAACAGTGTGTGGCCAAGTGCAGTTAAATCGTCTGGTTTCTCGTCATACTATGCTCAGTATTTATTCATAAAAAGAACTTATTTTTCTTTCAATTTTGGCGGGAGAGCTGGCACAATACTTCATAAACGTTGAATGGTGTTCTGTCAGCTGTCGTCTCGTCTGTCGTCCCCTGGCCTCGACGCCGTTTAGAGCTTATATCTTGTAAGCTATAAAATTACCAGTGCAACAGTGAAATTTGTGGTGCGTTTTGTGATCAATGTGGACATTAGACCATGTGTCTTGGGTAGGCGCGTCAGATATGGATACCAGACGGGCGTCCCCTAGCTTCGAAGCAAGTTTTGACGCGTGCGACCCTCTTGGATCTGTGTTGGAGTGGTCAGGCCGGGGGCCGGCCCGTGTGCTCCGGCGACGCTGCCGGAGCGAGGGTATCGACAGATCACCGTACGAGGATGTGACACGCGACGTCAACCGGTCAGCAGATAGTCACCCTCGTCATCAACGCACCGTGCCCAATAAAAGTCATTTCACCCTAAACGCCGTTCAAGAGGCGCGTTACGATCGTTTTCATTACGAATGTTCTTTTGCCGCAGCTGAAAACGGTGATTACGCCATGTCTCATGACCATCGTAGAAACCAGGGGTAAGTTATCAGATGTCAACATAACCTATAAACTTAAATGTCAAATATAATTCAATAACAATGTGGCTGCCCTCAATGTGCCAAATTATTTCAAATGTGTTTGCTTAGATAAACAGTATTAATAATTCATATTTTATTTATTGGTGGAGATTGTTATAATAATTTGTGTTTGTTTTTATTTCCACAGTTATCAGGCACCAAGATCAAATGTGCAAAGATCAAGTCCTACTAGACCACGTCAATTCAGTCCTAAGCCAAATTCAAAATTTGACGATAGCCGTTTACCAAAAGTTGAAGAACTGTTAGAAAGAGTTGATCATGAAATGATGGAAGTGCCTGTAATAAAACAACCATTAAAATCAATACTGAATAATCCATTAGTAAAGTCACCACCACAAAGTATACTAAAGAAACCTAAGAGCAGACTGTACCAGGATCCTAAGTCAAGTGTTGAAGGCCGGAGAAGACAGAGAGCTGCCAGTGAATCTGACAATACTTACTGCAGTTATAACATCAGCTCTCCAATACCTGGATATGATAGGTGAGTTTAAATTATTTAATAACCTCATAGATTTATCACCTATAGATACCTAATCTAGAACACAAAATTGAGGCAAAAAGTGCCTTGTGTTTATTCCCTCAGTTTTGTTATTTACAATGCAAAGTGACATTTTCATCAACTCAAGTGTCAATCTTGTATGAAACATAGCTTCAAGAGGTTATTAATCAATGTTTTTTTATTTAAGTGACTCCTAAGTTGTGGATTAATCCAAAGTTTTACCTTTTTCTGAAAGTATAATTGCTGAAATACCAAGCACCCTAACTAATAACACTAATTCAATGACAATAATTTTGTTTTTTTGATAAATAAGTGCATAAAGATCATATATATTATTGGTTTGATTTTTTAAAAGATCTTCACTATTTTGTATATATTTTCAGTCGACTGAACTACATCCCGAACAATACAAAACGAGCTAAAGATAACTCTGGAAGTGGATATTCATATGGGAATTCTGTTAATGTGATATCACCATCTCGATCTAAAAGTCCTCCAACCTTCCGACGGAGTCTGCATTGCTCTTGTAAGGACCAGGCGGTACCAGCTAGAGATGATATGTTTGGGATGCATATATTGAGGACCACAGCTATTAATAATGACAGAGTTGAACATGTTCCAACAATCCCAGTGGTAAGCCTTAAATTTTATTTAAATTGTATTTATTTAAAGTTTAAGTATAACTTGAACTTTAAATTTACTGCACAATTGTTTTATGATATGAGCAGTTTAGTTATTTATCTATACTATTGTTATAAAGAGGAAAGATTTGTATTTTTGTACATATTGAAATAAGTACTTGGTGGATTTAAAAAATTCTTATACCGTTATAAAGAGGAAAGATTTGTATTTTTGTATGTATCGAAATAAATACTTGGCTGATTTAAACAATTCTTATACCATTAGTAAAGTCATTTATTAATGAGTAACATAAGCTATATTTTTTAATTTCACATGAACAAAGTAGCGACCAAAAACTAATAAATAATAAACTTTTTTTTTTTTTTTATAACATAAAGTGGCAAACGAGCAATCGGCCACCTATAACCGCCAAAATGGCGAAGCGACCGCTGCCCATAGACATCTGCAATTGTAGATGCGTTGCCTACCCTTATACGACGGAGGAGGAGACGCACATAAAAAGGTTATTTCTCCTTCCTATGCATCTCCTCCACCGTCAAATCCACTTCCTCTTCCCAACCTCTCCTTATAAGAAAAGGGTGGTAAAGAGAAAGGGACTTAAATTAGGCCTCCGTCACCACACTCATCAGACGAAACACGGAATTGCTTCCATTTCACGCCTGTCTTCTGTGTGGTCGTGGTATTACACCGGGCGTGCCGGCCCATTCGTGCTAAGATGTTAAAGCGGGCACTACCACTGTTAATTAACTAACAGTAAAAAACTAACATTTTACCATGTTCCCACCTATAAACTTTAGTTTAGGACTGTATGACTGTAGATACTGAATGGCAGTTAGCTTCAATTAAGCCAGACTAGACATAAAAAAACCCTTGCAATATTGCAGAAAAATATAGACTTTATTTATATACATTAGAAAATTATGTAATAAAGAAGCCAAATAAAGTGCACCCAAGGCCAAGATTTTGTATTCTTGGTTAGGCTATAAGTGAATCCTATCGTTGAAACTTTTTAGCTAGATAGGCTCACTAAAATTTAGTGTTATGTTGTTGAATTTTTTTTTTTCCATTAATATGTATTTTGTGACCAAATGTAAATATCAGTCATAGAGAAAAGATTTATATTTTAGGATTTTTTTATAGATTGAAATAACTCAAAAACTGCTGGACTCATTTCAAAATTCTTTCACTGTTAAAAGATGTTGTCTGTAACATAGGCTATGTTTTGTATTATTTTTTTAATTACACCCGGGCGAAGTCGCTAGCAACAGCAAGTTTGTGATAATTAAGTTAAATATATATGTAATTAATGTAAAATATTAAAAGTATTAGAACAATTTTATATATTGACTGGTTATCGCCCGCGACTCCGTCCGCGTGAAATTTTAATTATTTACTCACAGATAAATTGCATTTCTAACGGTGAAAGAATTTTTAAAATTGGCCCTTGCAGTTTTTGAGCCTATTCATTACAATAAAACAAAGTTTTTTTCCTCTTTATAATTACTATAATTAGTATAGATGATTGGTTTGTCTATTTAATTTTGAACGAACGCAACTATATTTTTACACTTTACAATACAGCTATATCGAACGTTTTCCAGTAAATACTGGCATATGCAAGGCTGTACACCTACACGGTCGTTGAAAATTTACGCGTTATAAAATTAAAGTGCACTTATGTTCGAAAAGCAACATTATCACAGTCCGTTGAATTGTTTATTACACATTAATTAATACACACGCAATTGTAGATCTTATCAAAATAATCCGAAAAACGAAAACTGCGTGAGAGATATGAACGATAGACGACGCGATCTATTCAACCGTTCGAACGTCTTCGCAAAAGTAAATTGTTTGCATAATCGTGTAGGAGTGAGGAGAGATGGCCGCATGCAGCGGAAGGTTTTTCTTTTTATAAGTTTTAAAACTATTTCCGATCTTTTGTAGTCGGTGCGACACGTGTGGTATTCTTCTTGTATTCCGCGCAAACAAAACTCTACCGTTTCTATGCGTGTGTTCAAATGTGTGTTAACAGTACGCTCGATATTTTAGCACTGATGATATCTTTCAAAAAGTTTCTAAGGAAAATTTGTCGCTGCGTAAGTGTTACGTTTGAATTTATTGTAATTAATATTATCTATGAATGATGGTGTAATGCGTGAGGTTTATTGCTCCAGTTCGCAGGTAATTCATCAAGATTAATTTGCCGCGTCGTCTGTTGTCTCTTTTTACTAGTTACATCTTGTTAAATCTCGTCTTATTGTCTATTTAATTTGGTTGATTTAGGACATTGACACACTAGGTGTGAGCTTGTCGCTTCCAGTTATTTTATTTTTTATACACTAAATGTCTCTTCAGTCAGGTGTACATAAATTGCAATGGTAAAAGGGTTGTAAATTAAACCCAACTGACCCCCTTAATAAGTAAAATATTTGATTAACATCCTTGTCATTCGAGCGAGAAGATAACAAATATTTGACACTATTTACTTTATAGCTTCGTACATTTACTCCCTAAGTCAGGGGTGTTGAAATGTAAAATCTCATTTCTATCATAGACGTTCCATTAAATGTAACTCGCCGGTCGAGTTCACATTCATATGAAGTAATCGGCAGGCATTTCATTCGGCTTTTATTTTTTAAAATAGCATCATACTTTACACTAGTATATCAATTTACTTTAATAGTTGAATTTCCCGCGCATTTACCGTAGTTTTCAGTGAGTGTGGGCGCTCGTTGCATGCGGACCCTAATACGTAACATTGCTTCATCAATTCAGGCATTATGGCATTAAGCCAGAACACGCGAAATGTCAATACCGATGCACTAATACCAGTACCATAGCGCGGGCTCGTCTTACTCGCACAACACTAGAGCTGTTTTTTTTTTTAATTTTATTGTGTAAAGGTTTTTATACCGTTCTGCCGAAATTTAAAAATTGTGATTTTATAGTGACGAGTGTTCAAGAAAATGTGATTTATTTTTTATTTATTATATGTGAGAAAGAGTGATATTTAGTTTTTTTTTAGTTAATTTAGTGCATGTAACGTATCGCTTTATTTTATCGATCGTGTAAGTTATTTTTATTAGTAAGTTGTATTTTTTATTATGATCACACGAAGAAATATTGTCCATTCGGCTTTTATTTTTAACTGATTTAAAAAAAAAGGTTCTCGATTCGTCTGTATGTTGTTTTGTGTTTTTTTTATTTCAAAAATAGACTCAGTTTTTTAATTTTTTTTTCAGTTAAATTTGATTAGTGTTCATGTTTTTTTCTATTTTAGAGTTAAGTGTACAAACATGTTTGTGATCAAAAAACCTATTTGTGTTTTTAATGAATAAGGTAATTAAAAAAAGTTTAAGATAAGTATCAGTCTGTTCCTGTATTGCAGTATGTTAATTTTGAATGCAGTAAAGCGTTTCGGTTTTATTTGTTCATAGATTTTTTATACATACACAATCCTTCACATATATTTATTGTATGTACTTTGTGTTGTCAAGGATAAAGGATGTAGGTTACGATAGAGGTAATTAATTGGTTTAAGTTATCTCTGCAATTAATATAATAACAAGAATAAACGGAACTTGCTCTACTGCGAAAGTATTTATCTTATTTACCAGAATACGGACGTGAACTTATTTATTTATACGTTCTTTACGTCTGCGTTTGGTTTTAGTACTTATGCTTAATTTATTTAACTATATTTAACAGAATATCTTAAATTAAGGTGATTGCTTCTGTACACCTTCTAGGTAGAGATAAGAAAAAAGGCTGTTAACTCAAAATCATAAAACAAAATCGCTGTAAATGTGCGACCTACCATACATGTCCATACTAAATAAGCATGCGACTAAAGTAACCGCCAAAAAGTTTATTTTGCGGGGGCTCTTAAGTTTGTTGAAGATTAAGGTGCCGCTATTAACAGATGGATAATCCTTTGTAGACATAGAAAGAGATGGATGGCTTGCGTGAAAGGTAACACGATCAAGAAGGGAGTGAAGACAGATGACGTATGATAGTTATGTGGAGGACAAAAACCTGTTGCGACCCTACGGGAGTATGATAAGGAGGAAGGTGATCAGATAATCCTTTGTAACATATTTCTATTAAAACGTATGAGAAGTAGTAACTTGAACGTGTTTTTTTCAATTATTTCCGCGTGTGTTTCTCCCGCGGCACGTGTCCGCAATTAGAGGTGCGTCGCGCCGGTAAGCTTTCCGAATTCCTCGCACTTATGTTCTATTCTTGTATCGCCCTGATTTCATACCAGTAGTGTTCTTGAAAGTGGCTGAATTATTTTTTTTATACAAATGTTATCTCATGTTCTATATTTATTCTTTGTAGATTTAGCTTTTTTATAACAGGTGTAAGATTTATGGCATGTATTGCGGATCGATAAAACAACTAGAAAGACTATAAAAACCTTGAACTCTTTAAATTTTGCTCTACAATATTAGTGCGTATTAAATGTTGTCTTCTTCTTTGTCGCTTGAGTCTTTACAGACTCGTCGTGGTTATCACGTATCAGTGACCCGCTTTACAAGACGCCGCCACTCCTCCCTGTACGCTGCTTTTTTCGCACATTGATGCAAGGGTACGTCCATTGCCGTTCTAATCTGGTCGGTCCATCTCATAGGCGATCTTCCTCTAGGTCTGGTGCCCTCCACCTTACCCTGCACTACTAAACGTTCTATGGACTCGTCATTACGCCTGCAGACGTGACCAAAAAAAGTGAGTATCCGAGCCCGAACAATGGAAGACAGACGCTGCTTGATGCCGAGTTCTTCAAGTATTGACCGGTTAGTTCGGAATGCAGTCCAAGGTATTCTCAGCATTCTTCTCCAGCACCACATCTCGAGCGCATCTATCCTCTGTTTCTCGCTCTCTCGTAGGGTCCATGTTTCAGAGGCGTACAAGAAAATGGAGAACACAAGTGATCTTACAAGCCGGGTTTTAGTTGCTTTTGTAATGTCACGGTTCTTCCAAATTTTTTGCATTTTGTCCATCGCTGATCGAGTGATTGCCATACGTCGCTTTATCTCATCGATGCAACCGCCGCTGTTCGAGATCAACGCACCAAGATAAACATAAGAATTTACAACTGAACAATTCGCGATTTTTGCGATGTCTGGTAAGTTGTTATTAATGCGGTCAATAATCATAATCTTAGTCTTGCTGCGGTTGATCTTCAGGCCAAACTCGAGACTGACTCTCTCCATCCTCAAGAGAAGCTCCTCCATGAGGCAAGCACTGGTCGTAAAAAGGGTGGTGTCATCCGCGTAGCGCAAGTTAGATAGCTTGCGGCCTCCAATTATGACTCCATCAGTCCAAAATTCAAGAGTACGCCTCATTATTAGCTCTGTGTAGGTATTGAAGAGCAGTGGAGATATTATGCATCCTTGACGAACGCCTGCACTAGGGTGAAAGGTACTTGACAATTGATCGTCTGTCCTGACCGACGCAGTACCATCTTCATATAGGCGCCTCAACAGATGAACGAGGTGTTTAGGTGCGCCCATTTCTAACAGGGTTTTCCAGAGCTTAGGCCATTTCACGGAGTCGAAGGCTTTTGAGAAATCTACAAAGCAGATGTAAGTTGCTTTATTAAACTCGCGGGATTTCTCTATAATTTGGCGCACTATAAGTATTTGCTCCCTTGTGCCTTTACCCTTTACAAAGCCTGCTTGTTCAGGTGCCACTTCTTTAGAAAGAAACGCCTTTAATCGTTCGTTTAATATATGCAGTAAGATTTTGCTAGCATGCGAGATAAGGGCAATGAGCCGGTAGTTACTGCATAATTTCGTTGAACCCTTTTTATGTAATGGAACGAAGATAGTGTGTGTCCATTCTTGAGGCCATTGTCCAGTTTTCCAGATCCTGTTGCAAAGCCCATGAAAGATTTCTACTCCGAATTCGCCCGAGGCTTTAACAGTCTCAATGGGAATAGAATCTGACCCTATGGCCTTCCCTTTTTTTAGGTGTTTTATTGCAGCTCTGATTTCGTCTTTAAGAATGTCCGGTTCCTTTTCTTCCTCCGTGGGTTCTGTTGGTTCAAAGCACTGTGACTGTGGATCTTCAAACAATGACTGACAGTAACTTCTCCAGGTATCCGAGATCTTCTCTATTTCAGTCACTGTTTGTCCTTGACTATTCTCTATAGCCCATGTTTTTGAAGATAGCGATTTGGTTATTAGCCGGATTTTCTGATAAAGATCCTTTGTCTCACTTTTATCTGCATGGGCCTCTATTTCTCCACAAATATTTTGTAGGTGATTATTATAGTCACGTCTACATGCTGCTTGGATTTGTGCGGACTTTTTATTAATGGTTTTTATATCGACTCCTAAAGTCTTCATCTTCCGCCTTTCTTCGACCAGTGCTAGGGTTTCATCGCTCATCCAGTGCTGCTTTTTGCATGTTACAGGTGTTGTTGTCTGTTTTACAGCGGAACTGAGAAGATCTTTTGCGCACTCCCAAAATTTATCCGGACTTTCTGTTCTGGAGTCCGTCGTCAACCACTGTTGCCAGTTCCGTTCTATGATTTCTGTAAATTTTGGAGTGTCTCTTATTTCCAGTCTTTTGGGTTTATACAGAGTTCTAGACGCCTTAAGCTTTAACTGGATTTTTGCGATGAGTAGCTGATGATCTGAGCCACAGTCAGCTCCTGGCAACGTGTGTGCGTTCCGTATGGATGTTCTCCATCGTGACTGAATCATGATGTAGTCGATTTGGTTGCGATATTTGCCATCTGGTGATATCCAGGTATAAAGTCTTCGAGGGTGGTTTTGGAAGAAAGTGTTTGATATCACCAGGTTGTTTTCTGAGGCAAATTGTACGAGACGTTCTCCTCTCTCGTTGCGTTGTCCAAGACCATGTTTCCCTACACATGAGCTGAGCATATGTGCGTCCGCACCTATTTTGGAGTTAAAGTCACCCATGACTAGTAGAAGTTCTCTTTTTGGCATCCTAGAGGTTATTGTTTCCAGATCAGAGAAGAACTTTTCAACATCTTCACATGTAGCAGTGCTAGTTGGGGCATAAACCTGCACGATATTGATATTTACGGGCGATGACTTCAGCTTAATGCTTATTATTCTGTCGCTTACAGGTTCATAGCCGATTACACATTTAGATACATTTTTTGGAATCACAAAGCCAACTCCGTTTCTACTGTTGTCCTCGTTACCGGAGAAGTACACTATGTTGGTCTCGGTGAGATGATGGCCACTACCCTTCCAATGTGTTTCACTGATCCCACAAATGTTTATATTACATCGTGATAACTCATTTTCTAAAATTTTCAGTTTTCCTGGTTGAAGTAATCCGCGAATATTCCAAGTCCCTACATTTTGTATAATTCTCAATTTTAGAGATGTTCCAGTAGCAGCGTGTCCATGAGATGCCTGGTTACCTACACCACCATGGCCGGTAGCATACTTCACACCATCCGTCCCGGACACGGCATGGCGCCGCCTACGCGGGTCGCATGGGTATCGTTGTTTCTTTGATTCCGTATACATGATAACTATCTTGGGACAGTAGATGCAGTGGTTTCCCCTTGCCTTCTGCACCAGCACTTTTTGGGTCCATTTATATCCCAAGGCTTACTGTAGCCTCTTCCAGCTAGTTTCTCAGCTGGGCGTGTGGTTATCCCGCCACTGTTCGGTCGCCAGAGCCTCGTCCGTTGTCTAGCAGGGAGTACCGCGAAGGCTGGACTGGACTTCGCCGTCAGTAGACGCGTGCAGGTGAGGTTGACATTTGGGTCGGTTGAGATGTTGGTACCGTACCCCTTCACTCCCCTATTAAATGTTGTACCTAGGGACATATTAGTGTTTCAGTTGTTACCATAATGCAGATAGACGTTTTAACTTAAACAAACTTCAAGTTTTTATACCATCACTAGCTCCTGCCTCAAATTATGGCTCGAAACGTAATACATTGGCTTGTGACATGTGTGCTTGACAAATAAATAATGAAGAGTTTATATCAAGTAGGAGATACGTGTTAATAGAGAAAAACATATAACACTGTTGATGTCCATGATATCAATCTGCGGTAGGCAGAGTTAAAACACGTGTTGTACTGAACATTCTCTGTTATTTCAGGTAGCTTGTTTTTAAGACCCACATTTGTAATGTTCCGTGATTTACTTATTCATCAAAGTATGAATCAATGTCTAATAAAAACTAGTTGTAATTAAATACGTCATCTTATGCGTGTTTTAGGTAAATATAGACGAAAGCATCACGGTAAACGACCACGTATGAGTAACGGAGGTGATATATCACGAGATCCGTTAAACTGTTTAATTTTACAGCACAGACTAGCTTTTGCCCGCGACTGCATCGGCGTAGAATTAAAAAAAAAGTGAATAGCCTATGTGTTCTTCCGTACACTGTTTTAGTAAAACAGTTAAATTAAGTTTCCATTAATCAAAGGCAAACTTCGCCTTTATTAAGGCGAAGTGTGCCTTTGATTTTTTTTCACGAAAACGGCCGCCTGTAACAGATCTCTCGCACAAAACACTTAACACATAAAATCTATTTTTAATACTATCTCACCATTGTTAACCTTCAAGATTATTTTTGTCATCACCTTTACATTCAGCGTTCGTGGCTTTGTAACATACATTTGAGTAATACAAATGATATCATTACTTGGACCAACATTGAATTCTAAATAGTTTTAACGTTTTATTTTATAGTGATTTTAAAAAGAGGAAAGATTCTTATTTTTCGATTTTTGTATGTATTGAAATAACTCGAAAACGACTAGATCAATTTCAACAATTCTTGCTTAAAAAAGCTACGATATCGCTTCATAACATAGGTTAAATTTTTATATTCACGCGGGCGAAGTCGTCAGCAACAACTAGTCTATTATAAATATGGAATTAATATAAGAATATTTGGGACAAGTATGAATTAATTTGAAACGTTAAGGGCTTGTCCCATTACTAGCTGATGGAGGCTCAGATAGCTTAAAAACAACGTCACTCATATAAGGGAACAATCTTGATTTTTTCATCACATGTTTTACACGTTGTATTTTTATCAGGCAGTTTATAATTTGGTGGGACTGGCCCTTAATTTCATAAATTATATTTTCATTTAATTGTATTGTAACTAAAATGCTGTTACGGTTCATCAAAGACTTTGATGAACCGTTGATGACTTTGATATTTTATTTAATATTATATCTGTTTAATTTCAGTCACGCCGAAACTCACCAACGCCAACTTGTCCAGCAGTAACCCCAACGTTACCAGTGAGCTCGGTCACCGCTTTACCTGTTGTCAAGAAACCTGTCAAAACTGTCAAGAAGAAAGGAAAGCCCAAAGTCAAAGTTGTCAAGATGAAATCAAACTCGAAAGTTGACTGCACCGTTCCAGACGACATTTTACAGTAAGTCGTTTTTTAAACAATTAACTGGCAGAGTGTGAACGCCAACAGTCGTCAATGAGTGTCGCTTGTCGTCACAACTGTCATACTGTACTGGGAAGTGTAAACCGGGCATTACTCTAAAAATTTAGACAGCGTTTAAATACATTTTAGCTCAAACTGTTAATAATTTTTCCCTTTGGATTGTTTTTCTAAATCTTATTGTCAATTATGATTAGATAAGATTATTTATTGTTTAACAAGTGATCTTATACGAAGATAATGTTCAAGTATTTATTAATAGCCCTAGTAGCTTTGAGTACTAAACAGGCTTTGATAACAAGTGTACGATATTTTTTTTAGTTTTTTTTAAACGTATTTCGTTGGATTTCTCGTATATAAGACGAAGTTATTTTTAAATCATTGTAAAGGAAATGAAACATAATTCTGTAACTACAAATAAACAACAGTCGTCAGTCTGTTTTGCGTAATTTAATAGAGTTTTAATTATCTACAGTTAGAGAAACATTCCGTGCGTCCTGACATTAGAAAAGTTTTAATCTGTGGCGTGATTACAGATAATAAATACATAGAATTTTTGCGGGTAAAAATAAACTTTATTTCGATCGATTAATGCCAGGACTTTAAAATGTTTTGTAATTCTATGTGATTTGCATTTGAAATAGTTGTATCGTTCCAAGGGTACATTAACAGAGTCTTACATGAAATTATACTTTAATGTGCTTTTGTATTTAACCAATTTACTAACTTTTATCTAAAGAATTGAAATACTTGTTAGTAGAACAGCTCACTATATGTCCCCACTAAGGGGCTCGGAGCCTACCCTTAATAAGGATGACTAAGCCATAGTCTATCACGCTGGCCATGTGCGGTTTGGTTGACTTCACATATGTTTGAATTTCTAAGCCAATATGTGGCATCGTGATGTTGTAGCTACTTGTCGGGTTTTAATTTTTTTTTATATTTCTTTCCAGAGGTAAAAGCAGAACACCATCCCCACACCCAGTAGAACCAGAATGGCATATGGAGACAGATACTATCGTACCAGAGGATAAAGTGGAGAAGCGATCGCCCTCGCCAACGCCGATATCCAAAAAACATGAGTACTCGGAACAAAACTGTGTTGCTAAATTATCTAGTAAATTGAACGGAACTGTTGTATCACCCAAAAAGAAAGGTAAGCTTCACTAGATTTTATATCCTTATTAGTTTTCCCCGGGACTCCGTCTATAGAATTAAAAAAATAAACGTGTATAAAACATATATGCCAAATTTCATCAAAATCCATTATAATATTAGTATGAAGTATTGTTGTAAAATTGCCATTAAAAAGTGAAAAAGGAAAGTAAATCGCAAGTCACTTAAATAGCGAATTTAAACCTACTTACTTATTTCCTACGTATTTTAGTAAATCGTCTGACCTGAGAGTAAAAAACTTGGCAAAGCATCACCAAATTATAGCGTTCGTGGTAGATTTCTATACGATATTTGGTCTTAGCCGGAAAGTGAATTTAATTCTTTGACTACTCGAGAGTTATTTTCTAATTTGGAATTGGTTTACAGAGCCGAATTCGGAACATCAACAATTTCTAACAGCGTTACACACAATTAATCCATTCAAAAATCTACCATCACGCAAAGGTTACACATCTCAAAGTTTTTGTTACCTTGTATGTCTTTAAAGCGTAAATTTAGCTTTTTATGTCGTTTTTTGTTATTTTATCATAACTGTAACATTAATATTGTTGATTTTTTTTATCAAACTTGACATTTTTAATATGTGCTTGAATTTATAGTTATTTTTTGGAGTTTTATAATTTTTGTATTATCTGTATTGTAAATATTATTTAAGTATTTCCATAATTACACTAAACATGAAATTTAATTATTTATTCTTGTAGATATTGATGTAAACAAAGTATTCTTATGTAATTTATTTCATCTGTACTCTGCTAGAAAAATCATAAATGTAGTCTATGTTACTCAGTGATAACGTAGCTATATAACTGTGAAATTATTGTTGTAATCGACTCAGTAGTTTTTGATTTATCAATACAGAAAAAAAAACTTTTTTGTAATATCAGTATAGATATACAACTTGAAGTATGAGCTTGTAATATTGACAATAATATAAAGTAAATATTAATATAATTTCAGATTCTCCAGTATCAATCCCAGATTCGATAACGAGTAGTCTCCGCTTATCCCTGTTCCCGCGAGTGCCGCCATATTTAAAATTTGCAAGCCACGAAGAGACAGCTCCGTTGAAAATACCAGCTCCAATACAGAAGCATTTGAAATGGAAATTAACCACGATAACACCAATTTTAGTAAAGAAAACATTAACTAACTCCGGATTTAGATTGGTTAAAAGTGAATGTGATACGTCGGAATGTCCACAAGAAGGTAAATAAGAATATTACGTACATTTGTACTTGTGAAATTAAAAAAAAAAAAACAAAAGTAGCCTATCTTTTACGCTATCTTCTACATCTCAGCCAAATTTCATCGTGATCTGTTCAGCAGTTTAGGCTACAAACTAACAAATATCCATCCATCTAAATTTTTGGGTTTATTAGTTCCACGCGGATGAAGTCGCGGGCGAAAGATAGTTTAATATTAATTTTTAATTAAAAAATGATTTAATTAAAATTTGCTCGCAACTTCATGTGCGTAGGAACTAAAAATCTAGTAAAAACATAGCCCACAATGATCATTGATAATATAGCTATCTAATATGAAATGAATTTTTAAATGAAATGAAAAATTATTTGAGTTACAAAAAAATACAAGTCTTTCCTCTTCATAACAGTAGTAGCAGAACAGTTTCCTTAAAAAGTGTAAATTTTTCGCTTCACATATTAATGTAAAAATAAATATTCTAAAATATATGCTTTTTATATTATCGTTACTAATTATTCTTTCGGATTTCCTTATAATTATAGATGACTTATAACACATTTCTCTACTTACAGAGACAGTGGAATGGATAGGTATTTGGGGTAAACATATGAAATCATTGATGTTCAGAGCAATAAAGGATGGACAGAAAATGAATCATTTCCCGGGAACATTTCATATAGGAAGGAAGGATCGCTTGTGGAGAAATCTACAGAAGTTAGTCTCCAAGTATGGCATGAACGAGTTCGGAATAATGCCAAAGACATATGTACTGCCTCATGATATGAAGTTATTGAAACATGATTGGGAAAAACATGCAGCTAATAATGAGAAATGGATCATAAAACCTGTAAGTATTTATAATTCTTAGATTATTGTTACTAACTTTTCGTGACTTCGTTCGCGCGGAATCTATACTATTATGATAAAGCGTAAACACTAAACACACACTTCTATGTTGCCTAAGATGTTAAGTATGTTTTTGGATAATTTTTTTATTTAATAACAAGCCTTACGCTTGTTTCACGCTTTATACTATTTTAACGCAATTAAACTTGGGAGGTAAATATTTTAAATAAAAACCCTAATGTGGGAAAGAGATCATAAGTTGCTGCCAACATCAAGGAAGCACGGTTGTCATCATGTCATGTCATTTTGACATTTGCAATTTGACAAATGTAAACAATAAAATAAGATTTTCATGATTTCATGCGAATATGAAGTCGCACGGGAACAGCTAGTTAAAAGTAAACTAAGTCTATGTGATCTTCCAATGTTTTACATTTTTGCCAAATTACATCGAGATTTGTTAAACTTTTTTAGTAATGTGTAGTAACAGATATCATCCATCCAGAGTTTGCATTTATAATATTTATCTTGATATTGTTGCTATAATTTGACCTACCTAGACCAAAAAATATTGGTGTTAATCTTGTTTACGGGTTTGCTATCACTGATGTCATTAGATTAATGAATTAATAAATTAACTAGACTAGGTTAATCATCTTGAATGTGTTTACCTGTTTAAAATGCACAACTTTTGTCATTTTAATGAACAATGAACAGTAAGAATTAGTATTTTTATAACTTTTATTTGGTGTCAAAAATGACTGTAAGTTTATATAGTCGAGGACGTTTATTTCACACGCTAGATCCTACAGAATTTCATTGCAATTAGATCGAAAAATAATCATAGCAACTTAAAATGATTGTTCTGTCTGTCTGTCAGCCGGCGTCTGCCCGCGGCACCGGCATCAAGGTAGTGTCCCGCTGGACGCAGATCCCAAAGAAGCGTCCAGTGGTGGTGCAGCGCTACGTCTCCAAGCCCTACCTCATCAACGGAAACAAGTTCGACATGCGCCTCTACGTGCTCGTCACCTCTATACATCCGCTCAGGATATACCTCTACAAGGATGGACTCGCCAGGTTTGCCTCCGGTTAGTTCATTTTAAATATGTATTGCCCAGATTATCATCTTATCAAATAAAAAAATGTTAACAATTTTTGCAGTGCCAATACAAACACATGTTTAATGGCACCAAGTTGTGTTTACATAATTATATGAAAACTAGCTTTCGCCCGCGACTCCGTCCGCGTGTAATACAAAAACAAAGTAGGTAGCATATGGTTCTTCCAGACTATTCTATACATATATGCCGAATTTCATCAAGATTCGTTTCGTTTCGAAGTTTAGGCTACAAACTCTGACAAACATCCATCCATCCATCTAAACTTTCGCATTCGTAATATTAGTATGATAAGTATGATGTATTTTGTTAAAAAAAAGGACTAAAAAAAGATAAATAGAGACTGTAAACTATTTGGGTGTCCAATTTTTTCTATATATGTGAAATTTCTGGAGTAATCAATTTCCTTACATCCATCCTTTGAATTAAAACTATTACTAAGAGTTTAAGGTTTTATCTATTTTAGCTTACATATACGAGGTTTGATTAAACTAATAGTTTATCCGTTAAATGTGGTATATTGTAATTTCAATGGTTATTTTAATTCTTAATCTTGTCATTTTTGTTATTTTCCAGTTAAATATAACGATGAACTAGCATCATTGAACGACAGATATATGCATTTAACAAACTACTCAATCAATAGACTCTCAAAGAACTATACGCCTAATGAAGACTTCGCCGCATGTGAAGGGCATAAATGGTAAATATTCTTCATACAAACATAACCTATTTTTTGTCTTGCTAATTTACAGTTTACGTTTGTAATAACGAAAATACTATAATGTTCAATTGAAAATACGCCTAATTTAATTTTTTGAATTGCCATTAGTCAAAGTTCCGAGTAAGAACTACTGAACTGAGGGGGTTCGATTCCCAGCATTCGACATTTATTGTTAACAATATTCCAACGGCAGCTTTTTATAGCTTACAAGTAAATTGATGAAAAATCAAATTATTTAACATAAAAAGTTACCGCTAGAGTTAAAATGCATTAAGCACACATTATGACGTCACATGTCGAGATATTTTAGTTTGCTATTTTTTTTCTCCAGGACGCTGCAATCTCTTTTCCATTACCTAAAGACTGATAGGAATGTAGACACGGACTCGTTGTGGGAATCTCTCAAAGATTTGGTAATAAAGACTATAATATCGGGCGAAGCCAGCATCAGTTCTCTTACCAAAGCCAACGTCACCTCGCGGTACAATTGCTACGAGTTGTTCGGTATCGATGTTTTGTTGGATGAAGATCTTAAACCATGGCTTTTAGAAGTAAGTATTTTTTGACATTAATGTAATTGTAACAACGTACTAACATATATATTATGTACTACCTTTCGCCCACGACTCCGTCCACGCGGAATTTAAAAAAAAACAAAATTAATTAGTCTATGTGCGGTCTTCACTAAATTTCATCCAGATCCGTTTAGATATTTTTCAGTGGTAGTGCCCGCTTTAACATCTTAGCACGAATGGGCCGGCACGCCCGGTGTAATACCACGACCACACAGAAGATAGGCGTGAAATGGAAAATATTCCGTGTTTCGTCTGATGAGTGTGGTGCCGGAGGCCTAATTTAAGTCCCTTTCTCATTACCACCCTTTTCTTATAAGGAGAGGTTGGGAAGAGGAAGTGGATTTGACGGTGGAGGAGATGCATAGGAAGGGGAAATATCCTCTTAATGTGCGTCTCCTCCTCCGTCGTATAAGGGTAGGCAACGCATTTGCAATTGCGGATGTCTATGGGCAGCGGTCGCTTCGCCATTTTGGCGATTTCAGGTGGCCGCTTGCTCGTTTGCCACCTTATGTTATAAAAAAAAAAAAAAAAGATATTTAGGCAACATCCATCCATCCATCTAAACTTTTGCATTTGTAATATTATTAAGATACATCCATAGAAAACGTAAATTTTCATTGTATTGTGTAATTGCAGGTGAATATATCGCCCAGCCTGCACAGCGCGTCTCCGCTCGACATCCACGTAAAGGGACCTCTGGTGTCTACAGTGCTCAACATCGCGCAGTTCCAAGTTCCTTCCAAAACTAACTTGGAGGCACTTAGTACAACTAAACCCAATAAATTGGTAAGATATTTCCATATATTATTTGTAATATTGGTAAATTTTTATAATTAAGGCAGTGAAACAGAATCGGCTGCATCTCAGTCTTACTAATATTGTAAATACAAAAGTTTAGATGGATGGATGGATGTTTAGATAGAAGAACACATATGCTGTTTACTTTTGTTTTTTATTTTAAATCCATGAAGACGGAATTGCGGGCGAAAACTAGTGTTTTATAGACAAAATTATATAAAATCTGGGACTGGCGAAGCTTTAATCGACTTCTTTAATAATTTACAATTCCTATTTGCACACTTTCTATTTATAATACTAAAAAAAATAGTTCCGTATTTTCTGCAATATGGCAAAGGTTTTTGTATTTTTAGTTAGCTGTAAATAGACATATTAAGTTTATTTTATTAATTTTAAGTACTAATTGTGCAAATTTACATGTATTTCAGACGGGCCTGCCTTACGATAGTAGATTGTACACGGTATACCTTTCCAAAGAAGAAAGAGACAAGCACATCATATATACCAACATGGAAGACAGAGATCTCGTAAGTACAACTTATTAATAACTAGCTGTTCCCGTGCGACTTCATCCGCATGAAATTATGACAATGTTATAATTATTGTTTACATTTGTCAAATTATCAATAGCAAATTTCAAAATGATATGACATGACATGACAAACATTGGCAATCTTGATCTTTGATGTTGGCAGCAATTTATGGTTTCTTTTCTACATTATGGTTTTTATCCAAAATATTTACCCCCTAAGTTTAATGGCGTGAAAATATATAACCTAAAGCGTGACGTAAGTGTAGGGCTTTTTATTAAAAGAAGAGTTACTCAAAAATGTGCAACAAAAAAGTGTTTACGCTTTATTATAATAGTATAGATACAGAACATATTTGAGTTATTCAAAAAACACTATTATTAAGCTAAATTAGTCTTTACTTACAGGTGGATGAAACCAAAGCATAATATCATCAATTAATATGAAAAAATGCAATATTCCAGTACCTCCGGGATATCCTGTCGACGCTGACGCCGGACGACGTGCGGCACCTGATCCAGGCGGAGGACGAGCTGACGCAGGCGCGCGGCATGGAGCGCGTCTTCCCCAGCCAGCACTCGCACAAGTACCTGCAGTTCCTGGCCGGCCCGCGCTACTACAACCGCCTCTTCGACGCCTGGGAGGTGCGCTACGCCAACTACAGGGAACCCGGTAAATATAATACTGTTACAAAATAATGGGGGGGGGGGGTGCATAAAAGACCTTGCAAGGAGTGAGGCAGCTAGTCTTAAGGTTAATCGGGTATCTGCAAGTACGCATCGTACTAGTACAATTGGGAAAACGTACTAGTACACACGTTCAGTACCTTTAGTACATCAGATTTGTGAGAACACAATACATGAATAGAATATAACGAGGGTTATATATTACTTCACATCCAATTTTAAGCAGGGTCAAACATATGTTATTAGCGAAAATAAATTTAGTTATCAACAAATAATTTTATCCACTTTTGATTCTCATTATCGAAGGTGGATGCTTCAATCTGGCAAATATTCAATCAAATCAAACAACGAAGAGGCGAACACCGATATCGTGTAGTGTACTAACAGTACTTAATGTCCGAGTAACAGAAGCCGTTCGGTTACGTTACTTTTAGTACAGTGCCGAGTAACATTACTTTTTAGTACATCGTATGTGTACTACCTAAGACTAGAGGCAGACAGTTACTCAGTCGCGCAGTCGCTAACAAGCTCTCTAGCCTTCAGTACCTTAATCCTTTAGTCGCTCAGTAGCTCAGTACATTTGTAATCGTCACCACGGAACGTTCGATGTCTTTTACGTAGTTGCCTTAGTGTATTGTTTTAAAGTATTTCACCATATTTTCATATTTTTTAAAAAGTCATTTGTTTCGAAATTTATAACATTACTTATATAAATGCGAATGTTTACATCGATGGATGTTAGAGGTTATAGCCTAAACGGATGATCAGAACTTAATGAAAGACAGATGTAGAGGATAGTCTGGTACATATAAGCTTTGCGAGCGGTTTGCAGCATTAATTATCCACCATTATGAGCGTGCTTATCTAGCAAAGAAAAAAAATCCATATTTCGCGAACATAATATATTTGCGTTGTTAACTAAATAATTTTAAGTCCGCAACAGAGGTAGTTCCGGGTATTATCTGTAACTGCTGGATTTTTGGGAGAGTTTGAATGCTGACGAAGTCGGGGGTAACGGCTAGTTTGGTTGATTTTTTTTTGTATTAGTCTTGAAATGACATGTGAAAATGAGTCGAGTTGTAATATGTTTTATACATAATTTCCAGGTATAGAGTTACTCCGCAAGCTGTGCGGTATTGGCTACCACCTGGAGGCGCCGGCCGTACCACTGCAGGTAACTGTCGCAGCGCGCTGGCTGCCAATGCCACCAATGCCACTGCCACTGCCACGCCTGCAACCGCTGCAACTGCTGCAGCTGCTGCTAGCACTGCTCTCCCTCTGCCTTGCCCCCATCTGGTGACATTCCCGCTTATCACAACACGTTGTCCTAGGTTAATTTGACATCTAAAGTAGCGTAATCTATATATCTTGATTTCTAAAAAAAAATTAAAACACAAGTTTTGCTATAACGAAGAAATTTGATGGAAATAACTATTTAATAATCTGTAGCAATCTATATAACATATTAACTACAGATGTTTTCTAAGTCTCATGTTTGATATAATTGTCTCTTACCTCGGACAACGGGTTGTGTACTATTCCTTTGCATTATTTATTTATGTATTTATTTACAACATAATGTATTAAACATACACCCAATATTTAAAATATCTGTACACAATATATATACACACAATATACAAAGGCTTGGTTTCTGGTAAAGCGTAAAACATTCTGTTTTCTAAGAGAGTGAAAAATCACAATTTTGTTCACAGTAAATAATACTGAATCTATTTCAAAAAATATTATACACTCATGGTATTTATGACATATATATGCAAGAACACTGTTTAAATCTTTATATTTTTACAATAAACCCCTAAGATTTTTTACAATATATTTTTATTAAGCATACCTATTCAATACAATAAAAACATACAAAAAAAGGTATTATGTTTTACAAAATTTCTATTTATGTATTTATTTTTACACTATTTATACATATGGGTATTGTTTGCTATAATTTTATTTATTTATCCTTGTCTATGGTTATATACATTTATTTTAATATCACTGCCATTTACTTTTATTGTATAGATAATAAATTACTATAAGATATTCCAGTGGAATTATAAATTTCAGGGAAGATCAACAGTGAGTGTGGTGAGATTTTATCAATAAAAAAGCATGAAATTTTATATATTTTCAATATGTAAAATACTACACCATACATGTAAATATATGACTAATTCCTTAGTTCATTATGATAATGTAAATATAAAAATTGGTTCTAAAATCTACGAAATAAATTTTAAACCCTTTCGTAAGACTCATAAAAAATCAGAAGTTTGCACTGATATGTGATTTTTTTCATTATCTTCTATTCGCTACTTACACTGTAAGATTATATGATAGCTTTAAGCAAATAATATCAAATATATAGAAATCTAAAATAATATACATAAGGTAAACCGAATTTTAACTAAGACCATCAAACACATATTACACACAGGAATATAGTTTGAAATAATATACAGGGCTAAGCATTGGTACAAATATATTATTTTAAGTAAATTCGCAATATATGCATATGAATGCAAAAATATATGTCATCCAAATTGGATATCTCGAATATCAACTTATTATAGGATGATTTATTCCGTATCAGGGAAAAATGTATGAAAGATTACCATTTTATTTGACTACTGGTTAGCTCGCGACTTTGTCCGCGTGAATATAACAAATACATTCTGTTACTGATAACGTAGCTTTTATGGTGAAAGAATTTTTGAAATCGGTCTACTAGTTTTTTAGTTCAAAACATACAATAATACACATCTCTATAATATTATCATAGATTTCTTAACGCCGTGGTTCAGAAATATGTTGTTTAATTATAGTTCCTCAACAATAGTAATAATAAAATATAGCCTATGTTACTTGCAGATAAATTTCCTTTCTAACGGTGAAAGAATTTTTGAAATCGGTCCAGTAGTTTTCGAGTTATTCCAATACACACAAAAATGCAAAAATACAAATCTGTAGTCTTTATAATTTAAGTATAAATAAGGGGGTGTGTAAAATTACATGGATATTTCATGTTATCATTAAAAACATATTGAATTATACTAAAATATAATTTGTTACAATCAGGGCAAAGTGAGAGGTGCCCTCAGGCGGGTGTACTTTGGTTGTAAGCACATTGCTCACAGTAAGTTCGTAGTCAAAATGGGCCAATTTGACAGAATTACAGCTCTCCGCTCCTTTGACATTAGTCAATAATAGTGTGGTTTTTAGAACGTGGTGAACGAACGCTAGAGGAATAGTGCTAGTTATGAGTTAGTGAAGTATTTCAAATATATCTGTTTTTAGATATACAATGAACATGGTTTTTGTTAAGTGTCTTTCGTGTCTGTCTTAAGTTTATTATTGATATGTTTTTTTAGTATTTATGTAAGCATATATATTATTCGACTAAATTTTATGCTAGTTTTTCAATTTTATTCCAGCAATTTCTCTTTTATTTTTTGTCAGTTTTATATTTTTAATTGTATTAATAATTTTGTGTATTTAAGTGGATTAAAAAATGTACTTATGTACATAATGGTTTAGAAGTTGTCATATTTAGATAAATTAACTTAGATAATCTACAAGTTGAAAATTATTACGTAGATAACAATTAGAAATGTTCAATTTATTTTGTTTGACATGTTCATTGTATAAAACTTAGGTATTTAAAAACTTTATATTTTATAAGTAATTTATATAATGCTAGGTGTAGTAAAGACGGCTAAGGGTAGCATGTATCCAGAAAAAAAATTGTAGAAATTATTAATATTGTATTTATTTGTATTTTTTTACAATTGTATCTAATATAAAGATTTAACATGTAGCTATATTATATATATTTTTGTATGTTTATTGTATTGTTTCTAGTCTGCGTCGTATTGGGAGCTAGAGAATGATTATGAAATAACGATATTATTATCCGCGTCAACATTATAACAGGTAAAATGTTTGTATTTGTATGTATGTGTATGTGATTTGTATTTACGGTATGACATTTGTATGAATTTATAGATGTTATTTTAGAATATTTTTTTTAGAAATTCAAATAATGGAAATAGGTACGATTATTTCTTTTTATATTAAATTGTTTTAAAAATATATTGTTCTTTAATATTTGATTTGTATGAGATTGTTTTTGTATAATTTAAGGATAACATATATTTTTGCATTGGTAAGTGTAACAGCACAACTACACCTTTGCTTGGCTCTATATACATAGCTTATTTAGCACAGTACATACCCTTACATTATTATATTCCTAATAGAAAAAATTAGAAAAAAAATCAGACATAAAACGGAATTTACGAAATATAACCAAATTATCCTATTACATACGCATGACTTACATAATATATCCCTACTTTATTTATTTATAGATATACATTTATTTTTATTACACATTTTATAAAAAAAATATTTTTATATCGTTACTCTACCCCATTTCTTTAATGGTGTTAGGTTAGCCATAGACTCATAGGCTTGCACGCTTTTATTTCATAACGCTTTTATATCTCATAAAATACATGGCCATTACAGCTATCACATAATTAAAAAAAAAACAGTCGATTGTAGAATTTAAAAAAAACCTTGATTAAAGCCTAGCCGGTCAATACTTTTTTTACTAAAATTTTTATTTGAAGGATCTCTTAAAGGTATATTATAATTTCAATTAAACTTATTATATTTTATATTAAATAGGTATTTGAACTTAATGTATTTAAAATTAAATAAAAAAATATTCAAACACCCCATAACTCTAGGTTTCATTGATAGATCCCGCTCTTCATTAGTTGATTGCCAATAACTTTGGTAGGTTTTCACATCTCATTTCATCAAATCATATGCTATCTCCCTCGCACCTATCATTCTCCATATAACCATCGCTGTCGCACCTAATCTCATAATTATTCTACTTCCTAACTACGTAGTGTATGTCAATTTTTTTATAAATATACATTAATTTCATATATTTGTTTTTTCATAGAGAAGATAGTTTAAATTAGAAAGGAAATATGTTGGTATGTGTCGCTTTATTCAATTTCAATTGACTGTTTCCTTCAAATGTTAATGTAATACAATGAAAAAGTATTTAAAAAAAAAATTAGAGTTAGACCTAAAAAAATGAATGCTTTCTGTATTCCTTGAGCTAAAGATTGAAACTGTGTTATTATCTAAATGATTTGGAAATCAGGAAAATTACTTTTTTTATTTAAATAATCCTTCTTTGGACAGTCATTGTGTATTAGTAAGGCGACACAATCGGCCGAGTGAGTAACGGTGCTCCCCCTCTCCCCGCCTGCGCCCCTCCCGTTCCCCCCTCGCCCGCCCGGTCCGGTGTTGTAGCGGATGGCGCCTCAGCTGAGCGCGTTGGATCGTTGCAGAATGATGTGGACGCGCCGACGCCGCCCCTCGAGGAGACCGCTTCACTTCACTCCGGCAGCTTCGCGCTCCTCACGGGCTGCGACTGCCTTTCGTCCCGGCCCGCTTCGCCCGCGCGCCCGCACGCGCCCGTGCCCGCCTCCTGCGCCAACTACGCCGCGCACGCCGCACACGGCAACGCAGACTTCCCCGCCCGGCTCACCCAGCTCGAGCCGCGCGCCTAGCCCCCGCCACCCCCGCCCACACCCTCACCCACACCTCGACCTCAACAGCAACAAGTGCGCCCGACACAAGCACGCCCCGCCCCACGCACGTGCGCGCCACGCCTCCGCATCCGCCTCCGACTGATAGCAACTGTGCTCGACCAGGGTCAAGTTATCTGCTGCACTCAAAATCGTTTATTGGTTACTTAGTTCCCTTAGTGTACATTTCTCATATAAAATCTACACTAGCGGTAACACTTGGTGATCAATTTACGATTCTAAAGGCCTGTCCCACAATTCTAGTAAATTGTCGGATAACAATCCAACGTATAAAATATGTGATGGATAGGATTTTGGTACTCTATCTGACAGTGCGTCACTTAAGCTGCCTGGGCCACTATCTGCTAGTGGTGGGACAGGCCCTATGCATGGTAGTCAAAAATTAAAACGTAAAAAAATAGTTAAATAACACAAAAGTCAAAATAAAAACTTGTTCGAGAGACTGACCCCTGTCAAGTATGATTGTTTACTACCCAAGTGGATTGTAAAAATTCCAGTGTTTAATATTAAATTTAAGGTCCTCCTAAAGATTTAAGTATTCATTGATAAATGTATTTAAGAGAATTACGTATTGTGGAACTTACATCCAGAGCTTATACTGTGTTAGGATGATAAAATTGCCCATTGTATGGATTATCAACATTCCTGCCGTTATTGGAAATTAGTGAAATAATTGTCACTTTAATGCTAAACTGTGTTACTGCATATATTCATAACCTTATGTCCGGAGAATAAAATGAAGGCAAAAAAAAGGCCACTGGGTGGCATTTTGTTGAGATAAATTTTATTAGTGTTTTGCAATACAAAATAACATTTCAATAATCAACTACAAATAATATCTATGTATATATCCGCTTTTGTCACAGTTTTTCCCATGAATTTATTGAATAAAAGTTGATAATTCCAAATTACAATGTGTTCATTGTGTAGTCTTGCTAGAGTAGGAACTCTTTATAAGGTCGTGATGTTTTTAAATAGTGTTCAAAGCAAAGAGTCTATTGAGATGTGTATATTAAATTGTAATAAAGACTTGGGAAATTATTATTAGATATCAAGTATTCATTCCTTTACCATGAAATAACAGTTTATTAGTCGCGTATCTTTGTTGTCCCGAAGGTAGAATATATTGCATTTTTAGCGAGTAAACAAGGTTTAATGTATCCAGCCAGTATTGTACGGAGCCAATACGTCAATTTTCACTGTTACTATTTACATAAAAAGTTTTTATCTCATTTATTTTAGTAGCGTGAAACAGTGGAAGTCTATTCTTAAATATACAAAGATACGCAGATTGTTTTTCACTTTAAAAATTTAAATGTCTATTTTAAAGTTCATTTTTGTTAAAAGTAATTTACTGTTGAATTAAATGCGTGGCATTACATTTTTACAACGAAATCTGTACAAGAATTAATTTCTTAACTTTTAACCAAATAGATAAATATTTTTTTAAAGTTAGTATCATGGACTTGCAATGTACATTATGTATTATCATTATGTATTTAGTTTCACTGTTGAAGGAATTAAAATTACATTATGGGAAGTAAAGATATCCGTCTTTTCAGCAATTTTACTTTTTTTTTAACTTTTTCTGTGTCATTTAGTATGAAAAGAAACAAACTTAAGTTGGCGAGAACTGAATGATGTGGTTATTTGAACAATGTATTTAATTCTCTCATTTATGTACGTAATTTAATTTTAATCTTTACGTAAACCTCTTGTTAAGAATTGACAGGATAACCTAAATCGGTCCTAAGAACATTTTAATAAAAAAAAAGAAAAATGTATTTTGTTTTTATTTCTTACGTTGTTTTCCTGCTAATACTGAATTGTAGTTAAAAATAAAAGAAAACATGATGGGAAATTCTATGGATTTCTAAAAAAAAAAACAAAAAATCTGGAGATGCCGGGGATCGAACCCGGGGCCTTTCACATGCAAAGCGAACGCTCTACCACTGAGCTACATCCCCGATGTCCGTAAATGGCGAAATTGTGTATTTAAATTTAATCTTAAATAAAATTCTAATAAACTTTAATATTCTTAGGTTTAATTACTTTTGGTGCATTTTTTTTTAAAAACATACAGATCTTGTTTTATTTGTTGCGGATATTTTAATGGTTCGGTCAATCAAAACAGGTCTTAAAAAGGTCTATAAATGCAATACAGTAGTAAGCCGACATTTTTGCGGAGTTCTCTTTTGAACAGTGAGTTTGAGATGAAGATAAACCATATTTGATGAGACAAATGGCTCATGCTTTTTACTTTTAAAACGTAAATGGCTTCAACGCTGTATAAACTTTCATGGTTGTTTCGCACATTACATTACGTAGTCTTAAAATGTACATACTTTCGTGGTTTCAATGGAGTCGTATTATGTGCTTGTAGAAAAGTATTGTTGTGCCTAAACATGTCGAGATTTGTAAGCAATGATAGCTATCCAAATTTTAAACATTTTAAAGTCCCCATCACTTAATAGTTAGAAAATGTTTGTTATTGTGCCATTTTAGTGGTGAAGTAAATGAACTGAGCCAAATATCATTGGCTAAAAAAATAACCTTAATGTAATCTGCGGCGAGGATATTTACTTATTAGGTTAATATAATTTAAATATCAAATAAATAAAATTTTGTAATAATAATTCCTACCGAAAGGAATACTAGTATCATCGTATATGTTCGTTATGTAACTTTGAAAGAACTAGTTATACTCAAGCTTTTTACACATATATCTTCCATCTAGATTTAAGGATGTTTACCTTGAAGGTAAAACAGCACGTGCCCATGTAGTCTACGGACTTAATCTCGGCTGGAGATCGTATTGACGAGAAAATCATACTGGTTCTACGACCTGCTGCATATTTCATGCTTTTCCTATAAAAAGCGTTCGAGATCCTCAACTAAGATATTGCCATTTTAAGTGTTGCTCGTATTAAAAATTCAAAAACTTTTTCGTACTTGTATTTATTCTCGTATTACAATTTTTAATTTATATCATGCCAACACCAGTTACGACGACTTGAGTTATACATTCTGCAACCATACCATCTGTTCTGCTTATCTTTGACCGGCTCGCACGAGTTTTTTTTGCAGATTTTCTGGTTCGCACTACGAGTATATCAAAGATTGAATTTTAAGATCTTAGCCCTGACTTATATGGCTTGTTATGACGATGTTGTTTCATTTTATATTACTGCTACTAATTAGAGGAAGAATAAAAACAATTTCAATTTCAAGTTCATTAAATATATTTTTGTTAATAATAAATAACATTTGATTTAACCTAATAAGCGTTTTGTAAATAAAGCATTAATATATGACTATTAAATATTTCGTAATCTCAATAATACCCAGAGTGGAACGTTTTGCTAAATAAATATAAATATGGATTTAAAACATTAATTTTCGTATAAATTATGAATTTAACAATCTGCCTGCATCAATATTGTAGTTACATCCGGTAATACTTTTCGCTTTGTCACTGGCTAGAAATGCAATTAATACGGCGACCTCTTCTCCTTCGATTGCCTTCTTCATTGGATTTTTTCCCACCATATTCTGCGCCACTAGATTCAATTGATCCTCACTTAGGCCTACATTTTTGTATAGATTTGTCTTCACAAAACCTGGGTTAACGGAGTTAACTCTGACGCCATCGGGGGCTAGTTCCAACGCCGCGCATTTCGTAAAATGATCGAGTGCCGCTTTGGATATATTGTAGGCCGTCGACATTGCGCTTGCCATAGTGCTAGAGACGCTAGAAATGTTCACTACACAACCTTTACTTTCTATTAGGTGCGGGGTTGCGACCATTGTTAAATGGTAAACGGATCTCATGTTTGTCGACATCACTTTATCATAAATTTCCATATTTGAGTTTTTCAATCCACCCATAAGAACGATGCCAGCATTGTTTATCAACACGTCAAGTCTGCCAAAATGATCGATAGTTTCCTTTACGATTCTTTCAACATCAGCATCTTCTGTAAGATCTGCGGTAATTGTTAACGGCAGAATACCTTTTGCTTTTAGACAATACACACCGATTGCTTTTAAATTATTTGCTTTTCGACCGACCAAGGCCAGTTTTGCAGACTGCTTAGACAAGTATATAGCAGTGGCAGCGCCGATGCCGGAACTGGCGCCGGTTATTAACACAACTTTGTCTTGAAATTCCATTTGATATAATACGAGGACGTATTTGTTACTACTCCCTTAATTGAAGGTTAATATTCAACCAAATATACAAGTCAACATTGACGTAATAAAATTTTGACATTACGATACATCAAAACAACATCTGAGCATGAGCAGCTTATTGTTGCCATACTTAAAAATGCTTTCTACCATTTACGTAAAGTAGTATTTTACCTTAAAATGTAATGTACATGTACAGAGAATTTTTCCAACATAAAAACAAACGTCAAAACTTATAATTAAAATAAAATTAAAGCTATAACATAGTACTAATACACTAATAAATAAAGTTACAAGTATGTTATTTTTGATATGGTAACATTAGGTCTGCAAGGTTGTGATGTGACTGCAGCACGTGACTTAACAAAATGGAGATTTTTATGATTATTTTTTTTTATTGTTGACTTTATATGTTTGTACATTATTATATTAGCTTTGTTAGTTTAAAATCGGAGTAGGCAGGTACTACGGAGGAGGTAGAAGAGCCTATTCTCAATTTGTCGTAAAATTCCTCGACATTTTTTGAATTCTATAAATCAAATCGCTTAGTTCTAAGACTAGTTCGATTACAAACCAACGAAGATAATAATCGACCCGTGACATATAAAACAATATAAAATACATTGGACAGTCACGTTTGTTCTATAAATCACATGGGCTCAGTAAATCACGGACGTTTGCCGGCAGCAGTCCCGGGGTCGACTCGCGGCCCGCGACACGACTCGCCGTTATTCACGACGTTACAACTAACTATTTCATAATACATTATAAAACAAACCTGATGCCATAATTTGGAAGTACTGAAGATGTAGTGAACGGATTTTGACAGGATTCACATCAAATAATTATAAACACAGAAGGTTTAAAATTAAAAATGTACTGAGCTCTGCTTCCCAGTTGCAGCTTTCCCTATTTATTTATTTTTCTGAGAGTTTAACCAAGTTTATATAATACTATTATGTGAGACTACTAAACTACTAGGTAATGGGACATTGAAAAGTAGAAGTGCAATGTTATAATGTAACTTTCTTAGTTGGAAAAAACATGTACCTTATTTGTCTATATCTATACTGATATTATGGTATATGATAAAGTGGAAACATTTGTTTTGTATGTATTGGAATAATTCAAAAACTACTTAAAAAATTCTTGAACCATAAGAAAAGTAGCTTATCTGTAACTAACATAAGCGATTTATATATTTATTGTTTCATAATTTTACGGTGGCGAAGTCGCGAGCAAGTTTCATTAATCCTTATTTACGATAAATAATTCTAAATGAATACAAAACGTTGATATCGAAACTAAATCATCCAATATCTATTTGTGGGCCAAAACATTCGTCTTAAGTCCACATTTACATATAAAACATGCCAATATATCAATTCGACCACGAATGCAATTTGTGAATGGAGCCCATAAATAACTATTTCCCGTTTGACACACGGCGACCCTTCAATAAGGGTACTGACACACCAGGAGCGCAGCCTGAAAGTTACCACGATGTACTATTTCAGAAACAATAGTAAAACATAAGTAATCAATGTGCACAGATTATCCAAATACTATAAAAAATCGGTTTCCATTGCCTAAAGGGTTTTTAAAATTAACGTATTGCATTTTTTTTATTTTTTAAAACACAATTAGTGAATATAGTGTGTAAGTTATTGATGTCTTACTTAGTTACTGTTGGATATACTTAAAAAAGAATAAAATAAAATCGAAGATCGAAGCCTAATTTTCCTAACTTCTCCCGTTACATTTCACCCTAAGCGGGCAACACCGCTCTATGTTTTCCCGCTATCGTTTGACAGATGCGTTCGGAATTTGAAAACCGGAAGGATTTTTCCAGCGTCCTCTCAAATCAAGTGTGAAATTCAATTGAGCGGCTATAAATTTTGTCGCCTTGAAAAATGTCCTGAATTGCTTTTCTGTTACATGTTTTAGGATAAATGATAGTTCTTTCATCGCTTACTCTTATGTTTCATACGATATAAATAAAAACAGAGTAATTTACCCGTTTTTAATTAAATAACGATTTTGATTTTTTCTATATTAGTCCGTATTCTATGTGACTTCAACGGGGGATGTAGCTCAGTGGTAGAGCGTTCGCTTTGCATGTGAAAGGCCCCGGGTTCAATCCCCGGCATCTCCAGATTTTTTTTATTATGAATACCAAATAAAAACGGTGGAATTTAACTGAGTGCAAGTAGCTACTTTTTACACAAGACTGTTGACAGTGGAAACCCTCAATGTACTCCATCGGTTTCCTGCCATTTTTTATTTAGAAATACATTTCGTGTTTTAGTTTAAACAATATTATGTCCTGTTAAGGCTGTTTTTTAGATAGTTTCAAATCTAAACATACTTTTCATAATTACTTTAAAGACAAACTTGAGATCAAAATGATAGGTATTGTTATATTGATTCTGGGAGTGATAAATTAACCAGTAAAATGTACATTGGATAAAGAATTAAGAAGTAATCAAATTCATGTCGTAACTATTCTGTCCCAAAAACTACAAACACCAAAAAAACTTTGGAGATGCCGGGGATTGAACCCGGGGCCTTTCACATGCAAAGCGAACGCTCTACCACTGAGCTACATCCCCAGTACGAATTCTAATACAAAGTTTGGATAATGCTTGATTGGAACGCAGTTAATATTAGGGTAAAATAATTTACTTTTACTAATGTAAAATGTATCGGGGATGTAGCTCAGTGGTAGAGCGTTCGCTTTGCATGTGAAAGGCCCCGGGTTCGATCCCCGGCATCTCCAGATTTTTTATTATTGAAGTTTATATCTTTTTACCTATAAGGTAAAACTACTTCTAGAGGAGGGAAATAGCAATAAGTCTTTAGATAAAAGACTGTTATATAACACTGTATTTATTGCCTGTTTTATTAGTAAACATAGTAACTAAGGCTATGATCTATGATTGTATATTTTGGACATGGTATCAAACTTATTTTTTTGTAAAAGTAGTCTAAAATTTCCGACTATTACTGATAGAGTTTATCTCGGTCGACTACCATTAATGTTGCTAGTTGTTAAATGCAGAAAAATAAGTAAAACCCAGCGCCGACTAAACTGAAGACAAAAACGTCGATGTTAAAGTTACAACTTCACAAGATCCTTAAATAACTCTACGGTCACATAACTTACAGTGAACCGCATAAAGGAGCAATCGCCAGATTACCCGATACATCACCGCTAACGCACCATCCATCTCCGTAATAGTACAGTACCTCGACTGTGAGCATTATACTGAATGTTTAATGGATACGCTACATTGGAATCCATCGCCTAGGAAACGCTTAATGTCCAATCAAGATAGAACCTAATGTTAAATGTTGCGTCTGGTATGATCTTTTTAATTGACACACAACATTTTTGTGATTGTAGTCCTAGGTGAGAGAATACGTGATGCATTATTTTTTGATGGCATACGATTTACAAAGGCATCGGTGGCTCAGGGGTTTAAACAGTTGATTTGTAATCTACAGTTCTTGGGTTCGAATTCTGCCATGTATCGATGTAATTTTTGAATTGATGTATGAGGACATAATTTACCCAACGTGAAATAAAACATCGTGAGGCAACCTACAATAAACGCCGAAGAAATTCAAAAATATGTTTGCCAGCGTGGTTGACTATGGCCTAGTCACCCCTAACTTAGGGAAGGCTCCGAGTCCCCCAGTGGGGACTTATAGCGAGCTGGTGATGATCATGATGCGACATACAATTGAATATTAGTGGCGACAATGGTAGGTTTACACTGTAGAAAGAGCAGTGAAAATAATTCTTGTACATTTAATTCTTACAAACATTTACAATGTCTTTTGTTTATTTTATGTTACTCCTGTAGTCAATAGTAATTAAGACATTCATTAAAAAACAATACTTTCTAATGAACTTAAACAACTGTTAAGTTATTTGAACAGCTGCAATCAACACTTGAAAAATAAAACATCGAAAAATAATAAAGTGAATTTTTGTAATATTCTTGGAGGGTCTTATCTCAATGTATAAGGTTAAAAATAAAAAAAATGACGTCTCCTAAGTTTCTGTTCATAATGTTTAGATAGATATAATAATCGTTTCTATAAAAAAAATTGGAGATGCCGGGGATCGAACCCGGGGCCTTTCACATGCAAAGCGAACGCTCTACCACTGAGCTACATCCCCGATTGAAATAACTAAAGCAATAGTAAATTACATGACCATAATATGTTCATTTGACGCGTTAACAATTGTGAATTGTTTAAACTTTTATGATGAAGTTGTATGGGGATGTAGCTCAGTGGTAGAGCGTTCGCTTTGCATGTGAAAGGCCCCGGGTTCGATCCCCGGCATCTCCAGATTTTTTGCAATAAATGGAAATTCGCGATGTCACTCGATTAGGCTAATAAGAATAGTTGTCTTTTGTGAAAAAACCTGCTTTAAATGAAACACTTTTCTTGTTTTTATCTTGTCTTTTGCCTTTTTATCCATTTCTTTCTATACAGAAACAATATAATTTAATGTAAAAAAATCGTAAATAACTAATTCTGATTTCCTAGAAAAAAAGTACCATTTTTGTTCCCTAATTAAAAATATCGACAAAGAACGTACATCTTCATGATACGAAGTTTGTAATTTTGTCCAATAGCAAACTAAAGCAAAAAATCTGGAGATGCCGGGGATCGAACCCGGGGCCTTTCACATGCAAAGCGAACGCTCTACCACTGAGCTACATCCCCGATGTCTTTAAATCATCAATTTTAAACATTTTTTTTTCAATGTTTGTTAATTTATTATGTTTTGTGTATGTTTACTCTAGGTTCGAAATTTTAATTTGTAATTTAAAATTATTCTTCACTTTTTAATACTTTTTTTTAAATTAGCGGTTTTAAGTAATAGCAGTTAATTTATGTAATTTTTAAGAAATTTTGTAAGAAACTACACACCCTCTTGATATATCGATGTAATTTGTGAGACCGAATTAAGTTGAAGCATCAAACAAGATTCCTCAGGATCCTGTGCTTAATTGTAATGCAAATAATAAACAACTTGTAATTAAAACAGAGAGCGTGAATTTTTCTCAATTTCC